CATGTCATCTCACAGTTGAACACATTCAAACATGTCATACCTGGTTCAATACATACAAACGTCATTTCACAGCTTAGATTCAACTACAAAGAATACAAATGACAGCTACTCCCAGTGTTGGTGTGTGTGCATGTTTTGAGAAGTTTATTACTTTTGATTAGTGCTGAAAGAGGCACGGCGCTGACATATTCATGAAGTACAAAGTCATCAAATAATATCTAGCTGTCTGTATCAGCTGGAAAAGTTTTTTTTTAAAGTCGGCATATCTGCAATGGTCCCAAAGTAAGCTCTAACTACCAAACCCAGTCTTAGCGTTCTATGTTAAGACAGATAAAAGATTGTCACTGACATCCTAAAAAAAGCATACTGCTAACAACCAGACAAGAACTGTCTGTCCATTTTTTAAAAATCAATACTGTTTTCAAACAAGCCTGAAAATTCTGCCAACCAAACAAATCATGCTGAGACAAGAACTGAGTTGAGATGCTGGGGCAAGAATTGTGCTGAGCAATGAGTTCTGCTCATAGAACAAGAACTAAGCTCAGATGGCAAGAACTATGTATGTTGATATCAGACGACTGCAGCACATCTGTTCGGTTCTATTATATACTGATGTCTCACTAGCTGGGTTCAATGGTTGAACAGAAAAATATTTGGGAACCTGGCCTGGGAACCTGCAACTACATGGCATTGGACGTCAATTACATTATTACCAACATAAATAACACAATGAGTCATACAAAAAGTTGCAAACAAAACAAGAATCCCTCCCTAACACCTGAGTGATACAATCTGCAAAAGAAAAATACTTTTGGGGGAAAGTAGAGGTAACCAAATTTGTGCAATATGATCAGATCTTTGTATATTTTAATGTTGCTTGTGCAGTGACAGTTCTCATGGCCAAAATGAATACCCTGAGGACTCGCTGTCACGACGATTGTTTCAATCCACCTTGTGTGCTGTCAAGCCAGAGAAGCTCAGTGAGGGTGTCATTATGATTACAGCTCGGGCTGGGATATGTTAGGCCTCATATATATATACATATATATATATATATAAAACCAAGGCTGTAAGTGTTGTGTGTATATGTAACCTGCACTGTGCCATCTGTCAGGTCTTTCATGCCAGTACTACCTGTTCTCTGAAAGTGTGCAGATAGATGTATACCCAACCTGACATCCAAACTGTGCCAATGGCTTCAGACAGAGAAGCACATTCGGGAGCCTTATTCTAGGAAGAGGAAATGCAACCCGAAAACTTGATGTCGTGGCAGACCAGACCAGGCCCTTGGCTGGCAGTTGGTCTAACAAGAAAGACCCACCAGCTGGACAGACATAGCACTTGTCTGATCCGGCAGCTTCTACAGCAAACTGTTACAAAAGTATTGGCGCTATAGTACCTTTAGAGAAAAAAAAGCAGAACCAAGAGGGAGAATCATGATGTATGGGTAAAACACGGTCTTTACAATGCTGCCACAGAGGACAGAGGACAGTCACCATTGGCAGTGATTTTCAGATGCCCCCCCCCCCCCCCCCCCCCCGTAGGGCAGTATAACATCATCGGGAAAGGTGCCAGATATCTGTTTCTGTGCAAAGTGATCTATCATGCCCTACAAGTTCCTCACCTGGGTTGTCAGATGCCAGGGCTTTTTAGAAGTGGCCATCCACAGATCATAGCCTACTGTACATGATCCTTCTGCAGTGATAATCAGGCCTCTGATGATCATCATTCTCAGCACATGGGGCCCAGAATAATCTTAGTTGAACAGCTCTGTCAGATGTCTAAACAACCAGGGCTGTGAGGTGTCACTCATTTATCAACCATCATCAATTCTCTTTATGCCTAGTGGCACATGAGGCTTCAGAGAGGACTTTCCATGCTTTCCTTGTGCAACCTTTAGTGCAGTTTTCCATGTCAGAGATGCCGTGGTCAGGTCACTTTCCATTATTTGTTTTAACTCTATGTAACCTACTGCTTATTTATACATTTGTGTGCAGCATGATCGTTATTCACACATCTGTATGTATTATTCATGTTCATATGTAATCCTCAATATGTTAAAGTGCAATATCAAACAATACACTTTCTAAAGGCTCTGTCAAAGTAAAAATATTCAAAAAGTTACATATCTAAATATTTAACAAATTGAAATCTAAAAAAATAAAAATAAATAAACTACCATACAAAAGCTTGGAAAAAAAAAACACAAAAAAAACTCGGAAATGGAAGCAGATGAACTCAAATGTTGAGGTGTTACGTGTGAGCTTTCTGTATTTACTAACAACTTTACTGCTGTGTTGTTGTTGCTAGTTCTGGGTTTGACAGTTTGTTGCATGCTGCTGGTCTATCCCCGACCAGTATACTGTTGCCAGACCAATGATAAACTGTCTATGTTGTTTCATGTTACTGGTCCAGAAATGACGTGTACATTATTACAGGTGCAATAGTCAACACCCAACATGTCTGAATCAACCAACATCAAAGTGCACAATCAGAATAATAAATTAAGTCCACTGACCATATTATGCCCTAATACCAACTGCGACAGAAAGCCATGCTGAAGAAATACAATGAACATACAGCCAAGGGACAACACAAAATATGGAATGACAGCATTAAGAGTAGTTTTAAAGAAATGGAGATTTAACTTATGCACCACATTCAGGGGAAAAAGCAAACTTTTGGCCTTACTCTTCTCCCAGGCATATACCCATACATTATTGTTCTCTCAAAACTTTCGTGACGTTTCGAGTTACCAAAATATTTCAATTTTCTGTGCTTTATTATCTTTAAGAGAGCCAACCTTCTTCAATATTCAGTTGTTGAAGTATGGATGTATTTGTTCTTTTCGTTTACCATGATATTCTTAGAACCCGTCTGTAAAATTTTATTCAAAGGCATTTATGCTACGTTCAGCAAGTGTCCAGGTCTCACAGGCATATGTTGCAATGGGAAAGAGGCATGCTTTGAAATCTAATTTTAATCAGTTCTGTCTGTCCCACTTCTTAATTTAATCAGTTGTTTTAGTCTCTGATAGTAGTAGTCGTTTGATTTCTTTCATTTGTCACCACTGGTGGTAACCAATGACCCAAGATACTCAAAAATGTCCCACAACCTCTAATCTTTCCTCATTAACACACATTTCTTTCTCCATGGTAGTTTTAGTTTTATTTGTATGCATTACAGCTGATTACTGTACAAATTTCACAGATCAGTTGGTGACAGTACATATGTATCTGCTGGTTACTGAACAAGTGTATCAGATCAAATAATTACTGTACAAATTTATAAAAAATTGGTTGCTTACTGTACAAAATTTATTCAAGTGAGTTCTAAACAACACAGCAAAAAAAATGTCTTGCACAAGTATTTAAACTACCCTAAAACAAATATTTTTTAAACAAAAAACAATCAGCAACAGGATGTGTTTCCACATCAGACAGTCATGCAGGCAACCACAAATCTTTGCTCACCTGAAGAAAAACAAAAACACAAGAAACAGGATGAAGATGCCCCCTAACATATTAAAATGTTAGATAACCAACTACCTTGACATAAGATGAGGCATGAAAGCACGAATGCATAGCTACAGCTGCCTGTAGGCACTTGGCACAGCAGAGCTACAGAAGCATACTACAGCTGTTTGTGGAAACTTGGCACAGCTTTAGCTTGTTTGGTAGGCTTAGTAAAAGAGCTACAACTGTTTGTAGGCATAGATGTCAAAATATATGTTAACAACTATTGCAGCCTAAACCACAACACAAGTGTGCCACCTGGCCCTTGAAAGCAGCAGAAATTAACTTTACACACCTCACCCATCCAGGATCACTGTCACCCTGACCAGTAAAGAAGTTTCAAGATAAAATCAACCAGAATTACACAGCTGATCTGATTACAACAGACAACATGCATAAACATACAAACTAAAAAAAAAAAACAAAAAAGTGATTTGCCTATCTTCATTAAATTTTCCAAGCCAGTATCCCTTAAACTTTTTGTTTTTTAACCAGTGTACCGGCAAAACAGGGGAATTGTTTAATGGACCACCTGAAAGCTAACCCAAACAACTGATAGCTAATCCAAACACCTGATAGCTAACACAAACAACTGACAGTTAACCCAAACAAACACAAATGTAGACATCAGTTTATTGTTAAATTTGACTTCACAAAATTACAATTTTTGGCTGCAGTGTACTTGCTGCTGCTTAGAGGAGTAAAAAATCTGACGTATAGAGTCAATCGCTGGGCACAAAGTGGTATCGGAATCAATGTAGCACTACAGAAATAGGTACACTTTGTACGCCTGCTGGGATATTTTCACAACCCACTATTGTTCTGCAGACCAGCGATTAAAAAACACTGGTCGAAACCAACTTCCATATTGGCTGCTTGTGTTTTTATACAACAATTTTACGTTCAGTATTTTTTTTAAAACTACTTTCTGAATGGTCGGATCTTGTCAAAATTAGTGCAAAGCGATTTGCTGTCAAATCGCCAGCAGCTGAAATAAATCCCAGAATACCAGAACCATGAAATTGTTCCCATAAATTACACAAGGAAGCAAGTGAAATGTTTATGTACAGGGCAAGCTGGCGCAGTAAACATACACTCACAAATAATCAACTCAGAGGTCTGTAAACAACTTACAAACAAAACACATGCATATATTCAACCTCAAAGAAGACCCTTTTTGGTTAAAAATGTTAAAGCCAAACAAGAGATGTAAATGATATTAACTTTTGTTAAAGAAAGAAATATAACAATGGATCTGAATGTCTGTATCAAAGTATAGGCCAAATTAATAGTAATTTTACGAAATGTTAAATTATCAACAGCAAATATACCAAGCTACTAAATATCAATACAATCAGCTGAAAGCCAACAATGAAAATGAGCAAAGAGAATTAAGTTTCAGATTGTATTCAAAGATCTCTATCCTATAGCATGCGCCACCTTGGGGGTCAGCGTGATATGGAAGACTTGAACTTGGTCAATCAATCACCACAGGTTGGTAGAGCGACCACCGGGTGGTTGGCTGACACGGGTTGATCTGTGTTCCTGCGGCTCTTGAGGTCCTCCAAATATTCCACTCTGATTCCTATTTTGGGCCGCTGCCTGCCTAGCTGTCTGCTGCGGCTGAACTGGCTGCCCCGCAGGTTGCGAAGCTTTCTCTGGCTGGGGCTGGTCCTGACTAGTAGGTTCTGGCTTTTCTGCCGCCTGTTGCTGTTCCTGACCTGAAATTGTGTCAGAGCTCAAAGATTCCGCTGTCTCAAGTGTACCCGCGCTTCCGGTCTCAGTCTTAGTAGAGGTCACAGAAGCATTCTGAAACAAGAGATTTTGTTAGACATAAGGAATCATTTCACAAACAATATGTCTCTTTTCCTAAACCTAAACAACACATAAACATTAAAGGTTTCTTTAAACACCAGAGGCATACAAGGCTAGAGTCATATTTTTACAGACCAAACGGCCTACAAGGGGTGACGTGGACAACACCAAGCTGGCAGCCTTTACTTGCCAGGTTTTTAAACAATACCCATTTATGGTTGGATTGACCTGGAAACCAAGCTCTATGCTAATTTCAACCCATGACCTGACCCAGAGGTGAGCGCCTAGCTGCCACGCCACCCTGACTTCCAAAAACTACAAATAAATTACACTAAAACATTAACTGGCTGTGCTCCTGGGGGAAAAGTCATCTGTGCCTGGACTGCGGCCATGTTCCACGCCACCCAGACTTCCAAAAACTACAAATAAATTACACTAAACCATTAACTGGCTGTGCTCCTGGGGGAAAAGTCATCTGTGCCTGGACTGCGGCCATGTTCCACGCCACCCTGACTTCCAAAAACTACAAATAAATTACACTAAACCATTAACTGGCTGTGCTCCTGGTGGAAAAGTCAACTGTGCCTGGACTGCGACCATGTTCCACGACTTGGTGTGTTGTGCACACATACATTTTTCAGATGTGGCTTTTTTTTAAAGAAACGACCCTGTTTACTCTGACCAGGACCAAGCAAGAAACCTGTTTCTAAGATGACAATGTAGAGGTGTAGATCTATAGAACATCTATGGAACAGACATCTCCATCTATGGAACAGACATCTCCATCTATGGATCAGATGTCTCCATCTATGAATAAGATGTCTCCATCTGTGGAAGAGATTTCTATGGTACAGACATCTCCATCTGTGGTACGGACATCTCCATCTGTGGAACAGACATATCCATTTATGGAACAACTGCTTCCATCTATGTAACAAATATGTGAAGTTACCTTTCGATCAAACACAGCATAAATATACCAGATAGTGTGAGTCAGAGGTTACTTACATTTGCAGGCTGCTGCTGCAGCTCTGGCTTGGGCTTTGGTTGCTCATATGGCTCTCCAGTGATTGGGTTGAATGCTGAAACATCAAAGAACAGGTTCTCCTAAACTAAATTATACTATCACATTGTTTCGATACCGTAATATAGGCTCACTGACACTCACAAAAAGAGATATATTTAAATATATATTTAAAATTAGGGGCCCTACCCAAACAAATGGTGTATTCGGCAAACGACACTGGACTGGTTGTTTTTTTATACACCCCAGCCTTCGATGGATGTGATGATCAACATCACACTGACCACCTTTATTCTCAACGGGAAAATATGCCTCGATTTGAAATCGAACCCAAAAATTTCATGTCGTGGGGTGAATCTTTTGGCTGCTATACCACCATTGCCTCCTATATTTATAAATACCAAGAATAATTCTATGATATACTATTATACTTGTATGCAGACTGTTGGTTCAAGCCTCTTAGGCGGATTCACTTTGACTTTACAAATTACAGGAAACACCCTAAATTAGACGGCTTTTACAACATGCAAGTTATGAGGGCAGTGGATCTACTCCCCTCAACCACCCAAGATTACTTGCATTGTCAACATACACTCGCTGCTTTCTTCCCCATGGAAGTGTCTAAGTACTGATACTAAAGTCCAGAAGTGGACAAACAACCAGAACTTTTCACAGGAGTTTACAGCTGGTGAACGCGAAAAAGTGTTTATATTACAGCAGCACTGAGGAAATGATGCCTTAAAAAGTGGTGCTGGTCTCTTGCCAGTTCACCGCCTATGTACTTTCATACTCAAGTAATCACTTATATCCTGTGCCCATTTTCATCTTGGTGGGACCATGCCCTTCCTTCCTGGTACCATGCCTTCTGCTATAATTCTTTCCAATCCGTTGTGGCGCTTGACTTGACCAAAATATTTCAGTTTCCGAGACAGGATGCATGTTATTAGCCAATCTTCCCCGATGTTCAGATCTTTCAAGGTGTTACAATTTCTCCTCTTCTTTGTCCAAGATATTCTGAGAATCTTTCTATAGCATTTAAGCTCAAAAGCCCCTATTCTCTCTCTTAAGGACGGGGAGATAGTCCACAACTCACATACATATGTTGCTACAGGGAAGATGCATGCTCTCAAAATTTTAATTTTGAACTTAATGCTGGTGCTTAACCATAGATTTTTAAGGCTGTTCAATTTTTGCATTGCTATGGCCATCCTCCTTTTAATTTCTGTAAAAGTTGCCATTGCTATTTATTATAGAGCCTAGATAAGTTTGTGACATTTTCATTTTCTTCATCATTTATTGATTATCCACAATATTTTTATTATATAACAATTCCAGCTGTAAACTGTATAACCAAACAAATTTCAACTGAGAAAACAAAACAACTTTTTTCAATCAAGTCAAATTATCAAAACTGAAAAACAGAACAAGAGAATGCCAAACATGTGGCAATCAAATGCTAGTGCAACCAATCTATGAGATCAGGTGTCCCTACCACCTCTGTCAGAAAACTTCCTCATTCTTCTCCCTTGTCTAGGAGCAACCACGTATTTACCCAAACTGTGAGCTGAGGATGGACAGCTTGCGGTCTCATTCTCCAGCCTCTCCTCCCTGGACACCGGATGACTAGCGATGGAATGGCTCGATGTGACAGACAGTGCCTCTGATGTCTCTGTACACATCTCGGAATGAACTGAACTAACTGGAAATGTAGAATTTGAAGAATTAGTTTCCTGGGTGATGGCTGACTCACTGGTGCTCGACTCACCAAAAATTCTGGTAAAAGAATCACCTGTATCTTTTAAACTTCTAAACATTTTTCGGCGCCCTGTGCCAGTTTCCCCGAATATATTGAGATGTGTGTCTTCGTAATAGTAATGGGGTTTAGCATGGTTTCTTTTCTGTTGTTCAACGATTGGATTCTGCATCCCACTAATAGGCAAGCTAACATTACCACCAGCCTTATCAATTCCTTCATCGGAATTTCGATAATTGCCAAAAACAGAATAAAAAGAGTCTTCACCATTTCTGGAAGCCCGAGACTTGTTGGTTGCTGCAGTGTTCTGGACCTGGCCAGCTGCATTACTGGCACTCTGGCTACTGCTGTCAGAGTTGTTGCGGGCTGTATTTCTAGCCTGAGGTTGTGCATCGCTGGCACCAAAGATGTTACTGCTAGAACCCCCTGGAGGATTCAACACTCTAAAGAGGCAAGAAGTAGAAAGGAAACATTATAGTTAATATCACATCTGGACATCAAAATAATTATACATAGCAAAAATGACAAGTGTGTTTGAGCAAAATAATAAGGAGGCTGTTAAACATTCAAAATAATTACTAAAGTAATTCATGGTTAATTTCGGCCACATTGTAAGAACAGAAAAAATAGAAGTGAGAACTGCAAAGATTTGTGGAGAGACAGAGAGAGACTAAAGAATATTCTGGACAGCCTATAACTGTCACATGAATGGGTGCTCACTTGCGTTAAAAAATACACGTTGCTTTAAAATGGAAGACACGGGGGAGCATGGTTTTAGTGCCGGCTGACAAGGCACTTGATGTCAAATTGTATTCAACTTCTTCATTTCCTATTATTTCAACCCACCTAGGGGACTTCACATCCAATACAGTTTTATCTTAATATCTTTGAGTTAAGGCTCTTGTCGCTAGTGGCCTTTTTCAGACCAGTATTTATTTTCGGTGGCCACACATGTGTCTGATATTCTACTGGACAGATAGAAATCTGTCTCTCAGATATGTGATTTTGTGAATTCTTGTTTGTACTTTTGGTATCGTAGATGTGTGTAATGTGCGGCGATGGCTCTCTTGCCGCAACGTTGACTTTGTTATCTGTGTCTGTGATATTGTGAAGCCGACTGGTTCTATAATTCGTTTGGCATTGATACCTTTTACTTAATGATGAATCAAGTAGTGGCTTAAGAAGCAATATTTTGTCCACATACCCTATAGATTCACTAATCCATTTTTCCCCAATGCATGTTTTATCTGGTCTTTCCCTGATTAAATTATCCTGTGACTGCTCCAGTAGGGCAGCCAGGCAAGTGCAGTGTCTAGAAGCTTGCCTGCTGCTCTGGAGAACTTGGTTAAAAGCCTAATTTAGACAGACATATATAATAGACTGGGCCATCCTAAAAAAAAAGTAATAGAGAAAATGCTAGGAAGTGAAGGCAGGTGGCAGGATGTTGAATATCAATTCCTTGAAGGGTTCAGGTGTCCCATTGGGGGGAATAATGGACCCACTTTGTAACAAGCATGTCATGAAAGCTGACTACTTAGAGGTGTTTCACTGAAAGTCAGAGTGCACCTGCCTGGGAGGTGAGAACCATCAGTCTGCACACATTTTTACAAACTATAATGTTTTGTCAGAGATTAAAAGCCAGTGAATGCCAAAAGGAAGATGAAGATACCAGTTTCTATAATATGTCCCCTTTCCATGCTAGTTTATGCAGTCTAACAATATTTCCCCTTCCCTGCTAGTTCATGCAGTCTAACAAATATTTCCCCTTCCCTGCTAGTTCATGCAGTCTTACACATATGTCCCAACTTCCCTGCTAGTTTACAGTCTACCAAATAAAGTCCCTTATTCCTGCTAGTTTATGTAGTTTAACAAACTTGTTCCATTTTTATGCTTGTTTCTATATAATCTCTGACAAACATTTCCTATGATAGTTTTTATGTGTGTTCAGCCAACAAGATACTTCCACTTTCCCTGCTGCTCTTTGTTCATGGGACAAATACTTTCCCTATCCCTGCTGGTTTTTGTTCACAAACAAATACTTCATTTTCAGCCGACTGCAATTCACTTACTTAGTCTTTCTTCTTCTACTTTGGGGTGTAGAGATTTTCCAGAGAGATAGCTAGACTTCTCTATAAGCATTCTTTTTCTGGCTTTGTTCCATTCCAAGTCCTCTGTCAGTTAGGGACTGTTAGATGTCTTCCCAGTGGACCCTGGGTCACCCTGGAGGTCTGGTTCTTAGCCACTCATGGTGGCCCATTTTCTCCCTTTCTGAATACATGTCCAAACAATCGTAGCTGACTGATCCACGCATGTCTAAAAGACTGGTATCAAGATCTTGACAGTGTCTGATTGTGGACTCTGTCCCTTCTTATCACTTGTTTGCTGTTGTCATTGCCCATAGGAAGACCAGTAAACAGCAGATTTTCATCCTCTTGCCCAATATCTCTTTTGCTAAGAAACCGTCAGGTAATGGCCTGGAAGAGTCTCACAGCAGCCGATTCCCATTCACAAACACCTATATCCTACTGATGTCTGTTAAAAATCAGACAAACAGACTCTTTACCATCCCTTGCTGGTTTTTATTCACAATGATCAAACACTTCCCTCTCTATTTCTTGGCGATTCAATTATTTCCTTGTTCACAACGGAACAAACTCTCCATTCCTTGCTGATTCCTGTTAAAAACTGAAATAAAAACCACCATCATTTTCTGCTGATTAGTGGTCACAACCAACCAAATAATTGCTAATTTTCAGCTTTCAACTGAACAAACACCTCCCCATTCCCTGTTGATTCATATTAACAAACTCATGTTCGATAAAGATGATCTCTAACATGAACTATCAGAGTATGTTAATCAGACCAACACTTCATATCTATCCTCCGAATAATGGTCCCAAATTATGGAGGCCGAAAATATACCCTAACCGGCCCTCAGTCACATGTCACCACAGAGTATCTCCCATGCCGCTACGCGCGCATGGATTGGAGCTAAACTAGATGGCTGGGACTCATGAGCAAATAAAATGAAGGAAGCTGCAGGAGATGTGGTAGCTGCTGCTCCTGAGTCCCAGCCATCTAGTTTAGCCCCAATCCACACGTGCATAGCGGCGTGGGAGATACTCTCGGCGGAAGTCCGCAAATGACATGTGATTGAGGCCCTGTTAGGGTATATTTTCGGCCTCAATAATTTGGGACCGTTATTTGAAGGATAGCCCACTTCACTAGTTCCAGGGGATTCCTGTTCACAACCAAACAACACGTCACCATTCCCTGATGATTCATTTCTCTTCACAACCAAACACTTCCCCCCATTCCTTCTCGGCTGATTTATGTTCACACACAACGAAACATAAACTTTCCCATTCCCTGCTGGTTCCTCCCTGTTCACAACCAGACACTTCCCCATTCCCTGCTGGTTTCTGTTCACAACCAGACACTTCCCCATTTCCTGCTGGTTTCTGTTCACAACCGCAACCAGACAAACTTTCCCACTGCCTGTTGTTGGTTCCTCATCTGTTCTTTATCAGTGAGTCTAGACTCAGACACTGAGTCACTCAAACTTTCCTTGCTGCTTCCCGTACAGTCCAACACATACTTGCTTGTATTCTGCTAGTTTTTGTTCAAAAAAAGGCAAAAACTGCCCCTCCGCAGGTCCTCTTAACCCGGTACGTATAATAATTAATATATGCCGTTCCCGTTCAAAGCCCGTCATGTCATCCGACGACCGCCTCCAATCTGCTGACAGGACTCACGCTGGGCGTGGACTCCAGTGCCACTATTTGTCACAAACTTCTAGATGAAAAAAAGATCTCACCTGGAAGACGGCTTGTTGTCCGTGTTTAAACCCTGAAATGTGTGTGTGGTAGTCATTGTTGAACAGAAATTTCTCAACCCCGCTGGACTGTCAAACAAGTGAACTGTTGGCCCGGCTGGATGTGAGATGACGATCCCGTGTGCGCCTGGTTACCGGAAACCGTCGAGTATGACCAGGTTTTTCACAACCACAAGCCAGGTTAGTAGAAACAAAATGCCAACGAGCCAGTCCACTTGTTCATAGTCCCCCCCCCCCACCCCCCCCCCCCCCCCCCAAAAAAAATACGCCAGCGTGACCATGTGTGTAGATACTTTAAAAAATTATTTGTCTCCATCGGGACATAAGCCCACCACCTCCCCATCCACAGGCAAGCGTCTAAACGTTTTACCACTGTGGCCCCCTTGCTTGTACGTGAGAGACATGTTACATGCAACCAATGCGTATTATAAGATGATGTTCTGTCGCATCTTCTCTCAGATTAATACAATGTTATTAAGATATAAAGATATATCTAATGCTGTTAAGAAACAGACAATAAACGCAAATTCAAACCAACACCGTGCTACTAGTGCCATACTTGGGTGTTATCAAGTGAGAGGAGATGCCTAAAGAAAGACTCACATTGTACCACTCAAGACCGATTAAGAAACGACATTATCCGGTTGACTAGGAAAACACTTTTCACAAAATTCATTGAGAGCCAGAAAACAAAATTGTTTGGTTATCTCGTTCGAATGCAACTACGAACCGGGATGTCGACACATAGAAAAAAACACTGAGGTGATGGGTGGACAGATCAAGACATAATAATGACAGTGCACAAAATGGAGGGAAAAAAAACCAGTTATATATTTCAAATAATAACGTAAAATAATCAGAAATGCCTAAAAATTGAACTTTTATATATTCGTAAGGAATCGCTTCGTCACTTTAAGAACCCCCCCCCCCCCATCCCCCAAGGAGGGGTGAAGTGAGCTGAGCTCCTCTGCAATTTTTCGGGTGGGGGTGGTCCTAAGAATGTCTAGAATCCCCCCCCCCCCCCCACCCCCCCCCCCAAGTTAGAGCGCTCTTGCTTGCTCTTGAAAAATATAGCTTTAAAGTAGTAGGCAGGAGAACAAAAAGGTATACAGCGATTCAAATGGGTGAATAGTTAGTTAGTTATCATCACACATCCAACTATTTAGTCCATACTGATTCATGTACGGATCAACACGAATTTGTATGTGTGGCCTTAGATTGTCCATATTTTATAATTTACAGTTGCAAAGGTGCTGCTGTTTTCTTGAAGTGGCAAATTTATTGTATCTGCGTTTGACTAAAATTTATGAATCAATAAAAAATGTAATATACAGCAAGTGACACATGCGTTTAGAAATTAGTTCACCTGTGCAGCGATGTGTGGGGATTATTTTGATAGCCTGTCGGCAATGGCGCGTGCAATGAAAAATCGGCAGCTCACGGGAAACTAATGCTAGAGAAAACCATATGAAAGTGAAAAGCCTATAAAACGCGTGGAATCTGATGTTTTGATAAGTTCCTTCTTCTTAGTTAACTATAAGCATGCTGACTGATTGCTTTGAATTTGTGTCCCCCTCCCCCCTATACCTCAAACAAGGCAAAGTGCTAGATGTGTGTGTACGTTTTTAAAAAAATCGCATAAGGACATTAGTATTAACAGGTTCCATGCTACATTTTAACAACGTACACCGAACGGTTATTCAATTACAGATTTTTTAAATTTTGTAGGATTTCTGGAACGCACTATAATACACAACAGACGTTCGTAAACTGACGCTTGTACACAATAGATGACATTAAAAAGCATGAAAGAATAATTAATGTGTAGCTTGGGGGCGGGGGGGGGGGGGTTCAAACAAATTCCAGCAAATCAAGGGATGAGGAAAGGAAGTTGGCGCTGGAAAGTGGCCAGGGGAAACGGCAAAATCGTAAGTAGAACCAGCAGGGTCAAAGACATAAAGGCAGACCGACCAAAAACCTTCCCCCTTCTTTCTCTCACTAGGAAATAGAGGATGAAGTCATGAAATAAGCTGCATAAGATTATCAACAATTAAAAGAGTTCGAGTGAAATGGCTGGGAGCCAACGCTCTGTAAGGAGATTGGCGGTGGTGTGTGGAGGCCAGCAAAATAAGACAAGGGACATGAAGAAGATTATTATGATGACGATAACAGAGAAGACCCAGGAAAAGAAGAAATACACAAACTATATGCTCAAACAAGACGACGTCAAGTAACCACCTCCTTAGACAAACAGACTGCTTGGCGTTTTGTTTTGAGTGCAACTCATTTGACAGATTTGTTTTATTTGTATGAAAACTGTCAGGCCTCATAAATGAGATATCTAAGAAAGATGGTCCAAGTGAACAAGACAAAGTTCACAATCAGACAGTACGCCAGAGTCTTGTAACTCCGGCCTTACAGTCGGATAAGATGGGTCTGGACATGTATTCAGAAGGGGAGAGAATCGACTACCTTGGCAGGCCAAGAACCAGGCCAGGACCTGATCACGTTTCCCGGCCCATCTGCATACTTTCTTAGTCTGACCTAGGTCAGAGGGGTGTCACGTTGTGCTGCTTTCTTCGAAAAAAGTCTCTCATAGGACCTAGGTTCAGGTTGTGGGTGGGGCGTTTGGGTTAGGGGAAGTTCTAAATGTTTTGGGGTCGTTCAAAAGCTGTGTCCTCGTGAAGAATAGAACACGTGACGTCAGGCGCTGATGTTTATTGGAGGCAAGACAACGTGACACCCCTTTGACGTAGAAGAGTCTCAGAAAGTAAGAATGAAAGGTCAGACAGTGTATAAATAGTCCGGGAAATGTCAACAGGATCACAGACCAATAGGGCAACCCGGGGTTCGCTAGAAAGGCGACACCCAACAGTCCCTGGCTAAGGCCTGGAATGGAACAAAGCCACAAAAAAAAAAAAAAAAACTACAGATAGAGAAGTCTGGCCATCTCTCTGGCAAACATCTACACTCCATCGTAAAAAAAAAAAAATCGACTAAGTTAGTAGGTTGGACTGTTGGTTCCGCGCCTCTCAAACAGATGAACACCGACGGAAACGTCAATGCAGTCAGGCGGCCGGTTTGGAATTCTGTTTCTAGGATGACCATGGAGATATATGCAGACAGGTCGTGACCAGTACCAGACCAAGTCTTGGTGCACCGTCACGTGTGGTTCAGCACCTCTGCATCCTGACCAATAAACAAGAGAGCAGGATTCTTCCGGGAGCCGTCGTGGTGTAGCGGCTGGACACCCGTTTCCGTAGCGGAAGGTCGTGGATTTAGGTCCTGATAGAGCCAAACTTTGTGATCTTGGCTCCCAGGTCGACCCAGCCTTAAATGGGTAATAGGTTTGGTCATGGGAAGCACAGACAAACAGTGTGATGTTGACCTCATCTACCAGTGTAAGACATGTGTCAAAGGACCATGTCATTTAAAAACAGAGAAGCAGACGGGTTGAGTCCAGAATTGACATTACAGCCCTCTGGGCATTTCCATATGCGCTCCGTCCCCATTCTTGGCAGCCAGCGCAGAGTTCCAATGCTAATGGTGCCGGTCATATGTCCGTCTTGCCTTTCCTCTGAGTATAGTATGCCAGCCAAACCCTGTGGTCACCCCAGGTGCATCATTCTCTTCTGCCCATCAATTAAATAATTTCTCTTTGCTACTTGTTCCCAAAAGGCTCTGACCACATCTGCCTTGTCATGTATTAATTCACCACCCAGCAGTGCAGATTCAGCCAATCTGCCTGCTCATTTCCCCCCAGGTCAGCATGGCCTGGAGAAAAGATCTAGATGTATTGTTCTCTAGCCACCAGCAAGCTGCAGTGACCGCCTCCACCCCCATGTTAGATGTAGTATCATATGCCAGGCTGTCCTGCAATAAAGATTTTCCATTGGCTCTCGCTACAAAACCCCAGGCACTTTTCTTCCCTCTCAGCACAGAACCGTCTGTGTAGATAATCACATCATTAGGATGAGAACTGTCGTGAATCAACTGTTGGACTTCCACCTCAGCAGCCCCCCACTGACTACTCTCTGCACTCCTAGCCCAAAGTGATATGACCTTAAATAGGTCAGATCTTTCAACTGGTAAAACTAGCAGACAAATTCACAGATAGACAAGTAAGTAGATGAACAAAAGGGAAGGAGACAAATGAATGGAGGGAGAAGCAAGCAGAAGATAGTCGAATGGCCAGTGGTGGACCTCTCGTGTCTAGTGGGGAACCACTCCATTTTCTTGCTTGTCCAGTGTTGACTTCACTTATGCAGACTAGGTGGTATGCATATTCACATCACCCACAAATATAAAGAATATGAAGACCACAAATGGGAACAAGAATGCAGACAGGGAAAAGGTTTCAATTATAAATAATGACATGTCACATAACATGGGAGACAGGAGAATAAAATACCACACACTGGAACTGTGGTCACAATTGAGCTCATACCACATTTCAGCTGTGGTCACACACAAAACATACCACTAAAAACTGGTCACACACAAAACATACCACATTTCAGCTGTGGTCACACACAAAACATACCACTAAACACTGGTCACACACAAAAACAAACCACACCGGAGCTGTGGTTACACACAGAAAAATACCACACACCGGAGCTGTGGTTACACGCAAAAACATACCACACACCGGAGCTGTGGTTACACACAAAAACATACCACACATCGGAGCTGTGGTTACACACAAAAACATACCACACATCAGAGCTGTGGTTACACACAAAAACATACCACACACCAGAGCTGTGGTTACACACAAAAACATACAATACACTGGAGATGTCATCACACACAAAAACATACAACACACTGGAGAGGTCATCACACAAAAATACATACAACACACTGGAGATGTCATCACACACAAATACATACAACACACTGGAGCTGAACTCACAATAAATGAAAACACACACCAAAGCAAACTCTCGATGGCATACCGAACATCATACAGTCCAGATAAAAATTGCCATGTATTAAAACATCAACGTACAACAGACTACACCTCATTAACATTTATAATGGCTAAAAAAGAAGAAGGGAAAAATCCAAAATTCAAACTGGTTAATGCACGATGAAACAATCTGATAAGTTTAACAAGGCAAATACCACAAATGTCAACACTTATGTCAGTGTCATTCAGAATAGCAGCGTCAGTGTCATAAACAAAGCGGCGTCACTGTACCAGGCGAGACTGCAAAGTTATACATCACTGGCCACTCAAGAGTCAGAATGACTGCCACCTCCGAAAATCTGGCTAGTTCATTTAACTAAACAGTTGGAATATTGTTCAATCAATCATGCAGTACGGACAAACATAAACTACAATCTTTATATAATTTGCAGCACTGACACACACACAGTAAAGCACAAACACACATTCTGAGGTAATGCTATTTGATATGAACACACAAGCAAAGCTGTTTTGGACTGACTCATGAATAAACATGAGAACTGCAGAAACACACTGGCTAGACAGTGGTTTTCAACCTTTTCCAGGTCTCTCCTCCCTCCCCTGAATAAATGATAGAATCCCCACTATGACTTTAAAAATTGTGTTTAAAAGAGGACAAAAAGAAAAATCCCAAGGACTATTAACAAGAATTTTGAAGAAAAAATCCCACTGACATGAATCAGTGTCAAATAACAAAAACGTCCTTGGCTTTCTGTTTCATATATAATTTTAAAAAAAGGGGGGGGGGGGGGGGGGGGGGGGGGGGGGGGGGGGGGGGGGGTGGGGGGGGTGGTGTGTGTGTTAATTTTTTGTTTATAATGACAATTAAAAAATTTTAACATAAAGAATTCAGTCAATTTAATAATTGCTTGAGTCCCCCCCCCCCCCCCCCCCCCCCCCCCCCCCCCCCCCCCCCCCCCCCCCCCCCCCCCCCCCCCCCCCCCCCCCCCCCCCCCCCCAAACCCCCCACTAGGAAAACTAGGCTAGACGCTTGTCTAACAGCCCAAACGTCTTCTTTGGTTCATATCCACATCGAGTCAATGGAAAAAGAAGAAGGGACCACAGGAAACAGCAAAGGCAGGACAGTGTTCAGGGGAACCCAAGAATGATACAGACTACAGGAAGCAGCCGTGGATCAGAGGAAAGATAGAAAAGATCTTTGGATCTCATATAGACAGATTAGATCTTTGAAATGCAAAAAAATATAAAAGAAATGTGGAACCCAGAAATACAGAAGAGAATCATGGTCACAGGTAGAAAAACAAAAACAGAGGCATAACAAATACATGACTAAAGACAAACTGAGAACAGATGGGGAGGGAGTTAAAATCAACAAAAGAATAATTTAGAATTGCATTAAAAAAATACTTGCTAATGCATTATTTGCTAACAGATATTACTATTTGTACGACAGCACTATCTCCATGGTCCTCTGATTAATAAAACAATCAAGCATGAGTAAGATGAAACATTGGCTGCAGCAACAATCACAACACAGTGGCTAATTTTTAACTGTCCAAATCTTATCCATGTTATCTTAGACAAGCAGCACCTCTATGACATATGCCGAGAGAGACAGACAACATACTGGGGTAATCTGAGGGCTTCGTCTCCTCTTGCTCCAGTTAACTTAGTTAAAAAGTTGGGTGGGAAATGGGAATTTAAGTATCTTCCCTGTGCTGTTCCAAATGTACTGTGTAAGTCGGTCAGTCTCAGGTTTTTGATGCCACGACTCCATCTTATGCAAGGTCTTCCACTAACTTGCTGATCGTTGTATTTCTACAACCGGCTCTCAGTGGTAGTTGGTGCCAAAAGCATACATGTGGGTTCGAGGGCTCAACTGTTGGGATGTAAAAAAGGACAGACAAATTAAAGATTTCCTGAAATTGGATGTGTTAGCTGAAAGGTGCTGACGTACAGCCCAACTGTTGACCACCACAGAACACAGGGGAATGTTAGCGTCTTATACATGCTTTTTGCAATGTACCTGTGTAACTCTGTCAGTCTCTAAAGCTGCTTGTGACACCACAACCTAATCTTCTGCAAGGTCTTCTGCTAACTTGCTGCTGGTTGTATTGCTCCAACCCGTCTCTCAGTGGTAGAAGGTACCAAAGCATTCTCTTCGAAGTGAAATAATTTGTTGTTCTGTGTGGATTCCAGGGCTTGATTGTTGGGGCTAAAAATATGACAAGATCCCCTGCTCCTTAACCAGTATGTCGCAAACCGTGACTAATTTAGGATTTCCCCAAATTGGATGTGTTAGGCCAAAAGTTGCAGACATAACAGCCCATCTGTAAACCACCATACAAAATGCCAACAACTCTTTTAAGGACCAGCAGAGAAGAAGCAGCAGATGACTATTGCTGTTCTCAAAGAAGGCTGAATGAACTGTCACAGTCAACTGACCTAAAGTAATTTTACGAAATAAAATGTGCAGCATGTTCACAACACTCATCTTGGATACTTGCAGACCAATGAAACATAAAACAAAGGAAAACACAAGAACAGTAATAGCTAACAAATCAACACATATCAAATAATGATAAATAATGGAACTGAATATTATGTAGCCGAGGCCAAGCCTTTATGTATGGTGCTGATGGTTTCTGTTATTTGATCTACTAGATAGTTCACGTCTGTACAGGTGGTGCCAGCCGAGAGATGAAGCTGATCGCGCCGAAGCACAGACTTCCTCAGAAACTGAGGACACTGAGGTCGAGAGCACAGGTGTTCGGCAGCCAGCCGAAACTCGTAAAACAGAGTCCTGCCGAAGAGAGGTCAAAACATGTTCAGGTGTATATCTATAGTCATAGGACAGGTTTTTCATATACAATGGTACTTCAGTATATGTTTGCTTCGATATACATTCAACTTGGTACACAACTTTTGTTTAGAATATGCAACTGTATCAGTCAACATTAATCACGAAACTGCACTATCTTTGTTTTCCTCTCTCGAGACAAAGTCACAGATAAGACATGAATGATCTGGCACAGAAGTATCACTTCCAACAAGCGGTAACAGCATTGCTTGGAATGACCAATGTCACATTACTGAAACATCCTAAGGAGCTGGTAGAAGCAAAGTTCTTTGGACAGATGTTTAGTAAAAGTCAAACTTGATGAGCCTCACCTGGGTCCAAGTAAGGAAAAAGCAAAGAGAAATAACACCAGAATGTCAGTTCAAGTGAATGGGAACTCTCTTTCCAAAGAATAACATCTCCTCCTCCTCCCTTCTCAGTACCATCGCTAGTAGACATTCGATTATTCTCAGCAAGGTAAGGTGAAGTTAAATTCTCCATTTATTTTATCTAACTGCTTTTGTATTTATTCATTTTGGTAGTAGGCAGTATATAATATACATTATTTTATACAACCCCATCAATGTTGAATGTAGAATTAAGAATCGACATCACAGCACCTGGGACACTCCCATAAGTGTTCAGTCCCCATTTTCAGCAGCAAGCGAAGAGTTCCAATTCCGATGGTACCAGTAAGCGTCTGATTGTATATCCGTCTCAATGGAACCCCATTAATGTATGGTTTGCCAATAACAAGAGGACTGTTTCTTGTCATGGCAATGGATTAATTACTCTCCCTATATTTCTTATGTGAAAATGTGTCTTGGTATACGGACTGTCTGGTACATGTCCAAGGATCAGGAACGAATTAACTCTTTGAGTCCCAGGGGGTTTAGCATCATAGGCCCAAGGAGTAGTCAAAAGAGATGTAAAATCAGCGCATCATGTGTTCATTGGGCCTCTAGGTAGGAATCTATGAACGTATGATGCGTTCCTTGGGACTCAAAGAGTTAAAAGAATGTACACCGAAGTACCACTGTATAAACATGCATGGGTTTTTCATTTATCCTCCTGTTGTGTTGTTAAACACCACACAGGCAATACTGTCTAGTCATTCCACTTCATCATGAGCAATTGTTTTTCAATATAGATGGAATCAAGCCTAGCACCTCTGGCCTCTTTCAACAATGTCCATCTCACAATATACCTTAGAAAATCCTAATTTCTTCAATACATTTATTTCCCTTTTCAACACCTGTTTAGGGATTCTCTGCCTGCTTCTCCTCATTAAATGCCTCCGTATGCCACCATCTTTAGTCTTATAACTGTTGATACAAGAGGAGGCTTAGACATTTATTTTATTTCTTTGCCCTTCTTGAATTCAACCCATTTAATGTTCACCGATTCCTTTTGGCATTTGTCTGCAGATGCATTAAACCTTCCATTCAATATCTTTAGTGGGTTTCCCCAACATACCTCAAGTATTCAAGTCACATATGGCTCTTGCATACAGCAAGGAGTCGGCTCTGTGGCTAAGTCGACGCGAACGCTTCATAATGACGAGTTCGACAGTGGTATCAGGGGGCCGATCGTCCGGAAAACAATGGCAAACTACTGGACCTAAATTTTCCTAGAGAAACCACACAACAGTCAAGGGCTGCTGGGGTTGGTTTTCTGCAACGTCCTGTAAAGGATACACAACTAACCTATGTAGCTATACAGCAAGGAAAAATAATTTTAGAATTTACCATAATATATTCTAAATAGGCTAATATGTCGTTAACACACACACATATCTTTAATCTGCACCCCATATTTCATAAATACTTATCTATTATATTTTAGCTGGTTGCGTTAAGAACAGACATCACAGGGCTGGAACATGCCAGTAAGTGCCCCAACCCCATCTTCAGCAGCCAGCAAAGAATTCAAATGTCGATAGCACTAGCAGCAGTTTGAATTTACTCTGAGTAAAACACGTGAATACATCTAGACTATTAGCAAACAATTACCTGCAGTAGGGGTTTCTGCGCGAGGCATATCTCAGAGTCAGGAAGCGATAGTACAGGAACGGCAGGAAGATACTACACTTGCCACTGTGGGTAGAGAAGAACATTGATTACAGGCAAATATTATATCACTCTCTGAGAATTGTCACGAAGTTCAAGTATTTTATACACAGACATGTCAGTGTCTATAGTGCAGCTATGTGACCAAGGGAATGATAGTAGTGAATCTTCATGTGTTTACTGACTGACCAATACATGACCCACAGTTCAGCCAGACAATCAGAAGTCTATGGCTCAGCACCAGCAAGGAAATTAAAATTAAAATTCTGGGAGCAAACTCTTCCCTGTAGCAAAATTGATGCCACACGTCGCGGAACTACTCCCCGGTTACCTCAGCAAGAAAATAAGTGGCTTTTGAGCTGACATGTTAACTTTACACAAGAGTGTACAGAACACTAAAAAACTAAGAAGAGAAGAAATATCGACATTTTACAAGTTCCGAACATCAAGGAAGACTAGCTAGTAAAAAGCATCCTGTCTCGGAAGCTGATATATGTTGGTTAAATCAAGCCCAACGGAGGACTGGAAAAAAAATAACAGAAGGCATGGTATCAGGAAGGAGAGGCAGGGGCCGACCAACACAAAGATGGGCACAGGATATAAGTGACTCCTTGAACAAGAAAGTACCTTAGGCGGAAAAGCTGGCAGGACAGCGAGTTTCTTTCAGGCAGACCGTGATGAGAGCTAAGTTCTGCAAAGGACCTGCTACATGATGATGATGCATATAAACTCCCGGAATAGGTTCCAGGGCTTCATTTTGGGAGGTAAGAATAGTGCCTCTATAAAAAAGCATGCCATAAGGGTGTTTCCCCCATAAGCTAGAGTGCATCTGTCTGGCAGGTGAGGAACCAACAGCCTGCATACAATTAAGCCAGAACTTTAAAATGGATGTACACGCAACAAGACCAGAAGTGGAAGAACAACCATAGCTTTTCACAGGTGTTCACAGCCAGTGCAATGTGAAGAAGATATAAAGAAACACTACCATCACTGGATGTGATGTCACTAGATATTAAGTGTTACATACATAGACAACTATAAATATAGCATATAAATGATCAACATAGAGGTAAGGGAGAAAGCTGGGCACCTAACACAGACTTTATGGTAAAAATGATAGCTGGGCACCTTGCACAGACTTTATGGTAAAAATGATAGCTTGGCACCTTACACAGACTTTATGGTAAAAAAGATAACTTGGCACCTAACACAGACTTTATGGTAAAAATGATAACTTGGCACCTAACACAGACTTTGTGGTAAAAATGAATAAAATAAAGTTATGTATTGTTACACGGACACCTGAGAGACATATGACTGTTAACAGTCAAGTTAAAATGTCTGAGAGATGTTTTACACTTATTGACGCAGTTCAGGTGAAATATGGAGGCAGCTGTTACTCTTGAGAAAGGGGGTGGAAGAATAGAGAGAGAGAGAACACACGAAGAAAGGGGACAAGAGAAAGATACATAAAACGAGAGAACACGAGAGAGAGAGAGAGAGAGAAACGAGAGAGAGAGAGATGAGAGAGACAGAGAAGAGAGAGAGAGAGAGAGAGAGAGAGAGAACACACGAAGAAAGGGGACAAGAGAAAGATACATAAAACGAGAGAAACAGAGAGAGAGAGAGAGAGAGAGAGAGAGAGAGAGAGAGAGAGAGAGAGAGAGAGAGAGAGAGAGAGAACACACGAAGAAAGGGGACAAGAGAAAGATACATAAAACGAGAGAAACAGAGAGAGAGAGAGAGAGAGAAAGAGATGGCACATGCATAAGAGGGAAAGAAGTCAGATACACAGAAAGAGGTGGTCGAGAGAACGACATACATGACAGCATACATTTTTAAAAAAAGGAAGAGAGACACACAGAAAGAGCTGCCGTGATGTGGCAGCTAGATGCTCGCTTGCGGATCTAAAGGCTGTGGATTCGAACCTGCATGGTACCAGATTCTTCCAAACATGACCTTGGCTCCCAAGCTGACCCTTAACTGGGTACCATGTAAAGACCTGGGAAGTAGGGGCAGGTGGCATGACGTTGACCACATCAACCACCAAAGGCTGATTGGTCTATAAAAATGCGAGTCTAGCCCGATGTGCCTCTGGTGTGTAAAGGGACATTACATACTTTTTACACATAGAAAGAAAAAGACAAAGGGATATTCCATTCCAATCCACACAGATTAAAAAAAAAAATCTCGAATATGTTCAACCTGCTCATGACAGCGAGCTGCCTATAGGCTCCAGTTATATTTGTGGTTTGATTTATTTGCACCACTAGTGTGGCTAAGATTCCGGTATGTGTGCCAGTTTTCTGTCCATATCCTATTAGCTAGACCGCGTCCTTCCTGTCTGCGTCAAAATATGTTCCCTTTGTCCTTATCTTTTTTTAAAATAGTTTTTTCCTCAAGTGCCATCCTTGGTCCGGTTCATTCTCCTTATTTTGTCCATGTGTCCTCCAACACATTTCCGGATCTGTTCCCTTTGTTTGACCAGGTGTATCTCGTAAAAAGCAGAGCTTGTTTGCAGCTATTTACATAACGTTCTCTCAGACCACCAGTCACAGTTTTCAAATTGTATTTTACTTTCGCAAAAGTACATAAAACAGTTTCTGGGTTTGGACTGATCCAAAATTATAAATTAAATTTGCGTATGATCCTATCCATCTTATAGATGTCTTTAGAAAGGGAGAGTATATTGTTAGAGACAAGTGAATCACACTGAAGAAAAAAAGTTCAACAGTGTCCTTGATAAGAAGGCGGAAGACTACCTGCAGCATCTTCACAAAGTAAAATCCTCACCTGAAGATGAGGATGATGATGGCCGGCATCAAAAATATCTCGGTGCTGGCGATGAAGCGGAGAATGTTGACCTGTTGAGCCTCCAGCTTGTTGATCATGTTGCGTACAAACATCAGAGATGTTGGTCCCATCAACTGAGAACAGGCAATGTGCAAATGCTAACTGACAACACAAATGCTGGCTTGCATTCAACTAACTATGATGTTGCCCTTTGTATTTTTTAAGTTAAGGCCCTTGCCTTTCACAGCCCCTTGCTGGCTAGTATTTATTTCCTGTACTCACACACAAGTCCGAGATTCAGCTGACCAGACAGATATGTGATTTCTGTAGGAGATAACTTCAGTTAAGTGATTTGTCTGTTTGTCTGTGTGTGTGTATTCTTGTTTGTACTTCTAAGCCAGCGCAGAGTGCCAATACCAATGGTGCCAGCAGCATTCTGATTATACGTACGTCTGACCTTTCCTCTGAGCGTCGAATATCAGAGGAAAGGCAAGACGGATATATAATCAGTTTGTATTTGTGGTTTTGCATATTCACGTAATGTGCTGAAGAAGGCTCTCTAGACAAATTGTTAGCTTTTTGTATGTGATTGTTGTTTTCCCCACAATGGGGCCCCAGAACTCACATTGGGAGACATGACCTATCTAGGCATTTCATCCTAGAAACAGGTTCCCAACCAGAAGCCTGGCCAAAGTAAAGTTGTATAGAGTTGATAGAATCAACTTATAGTTCTTCTTTTCTGTACTGCTTTTTCATGAATCATCTGACAAATTTCAGCTCTTCTAATTTCTTCACTTGCAATTGCATTTTTTTTTTTTTTACTACTCACGGGCAGTTCTGTTTGGACATTAAGTGTTGTCATGATTTTCTGCCGACTACTTGCAGAAAGGGTGCATGTTTGTCACTGTTATCATTCTTTGTGCCAACCTTGCAAAATACTGTCATCTTTTGATAAACTTGATATCAACTTTTGTAAAACTTCTCATCAACTGCTGTAAAACCACCTTCAACTTGAGTAGAACTCTTAATTACTTCCGTAAAACTATCACGTAGCTTGCATACGTAACTCTTGTAGAACTAACCTCATGTGTCCAATACTTACATTAAGGATGGTTTTTGTAAAAGAGCAGGCATGCAGTACAGCAAACAGGAACACAGGAATCAAGCACACTGGGCAGTGTTGAGCAAATTATTTGTGTGAAACATTTTTACACTAACAAACTCATCGCCAACATGTATAATATATTCACATAAAAATGTAAGCAAAGTTCACATTTTTACACCATAAGGCATAAAAGCTAAAGTCGGGATATGTGAACCAGGGTCAGTGCACACCATTATAAACCATAAGTGCTCTGCCACCAGTACGGACAGCGGATAAGAAAGTGTCCACCCGTGTCGCTGTCCGCATGCAAATCTGTAACTACAGCGACATTCCTCCATTTACTACAGAGTGTTAACTCTGGTACACATTACCTAGAGGCTGGGTGAACTTCAGGAACCGCCCAATTTCGAACACCGGCTGTAGCGAGTCGCATCTGGATTTGAAAGTGAGTCTCCTATCGACTGCGCTAACGCAGCCCCCTAAGGCATGTGAAATGTTACCTTTCAGGCACCAAAGCACTGGCATTGAAAGAGCGAAACACACCAAACAACCCTCAATACATGATGTGGTCAATATAATTGTGAACATCTTTACTTCCCAGGACAATTCCTTGCATCAATTTAAGGTTGGGCTGACCTAGGCTTCTGTGTCAATTTTAAACATCTGTTCTGCTGGTGCAACTGCCACATCTTCATCCACACGGTTACCCTAACTAGACACTTGTTCCTCGCACATGACAGCATGTTTGATGCATGTCAATAAAGTCCCTCTTTGCAAAGACAGCCATGACAGATATCTCTTTCTGCCGATCTTTTCTATCAAAAACTAACTAACTGCCTCTTACAAATTCTAATTCTTCAGTACAACACAGCAAAAGAATCCATTTAGATAAACCCAGGTAGCAGCATATTACAAGATGCTGACAAGCATGACCGCACATACCAGCCAGTTCACAATGCACTCTCCTTCTTAGTATTGAATTGGGGCATCAGAAGCAACACAGTTAAACTGCAAACTAATGCTGCTTAATCACCCACAGCCGAGATTAAACCTGGCACCGTGGAATTACAACGCTCTTTGATAAAATATGCATGAACAATCCCTGAGATAGTGAGGGGAAAAGAGCATTACAGAGTTAAGTACTTTTTAAAAACAATACTGTGGTTAGCTCTAACAAGAAATTCGGCTCTCCTTTAAATAACAATAGCTAGCTCGAAAGCCGACGGTCGCTTAGTGGGAGTTCACTTCCTTGGTTGCAGTGCAAACACGGAGCGGAAAAGTCAAGAATCAAAAACAAGGTCAACATGGCAGTTAGACATTAGGGTTTGGGTTAGGGTGACACATCACGGAAACGACGGAAGCTTATCGCTGGTTACGACATACAGATCCGCAGGTCTTACATCTGAGGTCAGTAAGTCGTGCGTCGGAAGAACACGGTCGCTAATGTGAGTACGGACAAGTCGCTATCAATTGGGCACCAGCCGCACACTATTGCTGTCATATTTAGGAGAATTCCAGTGGCGCCACTCTCACAAGCATCAGATTGTCGGCTATTATTTGGAACTCCTGCGTCAAAATTTTCACATCTAACCCTAACATTACCCCTACCCCTAACCCAAACTCGACCCCTAACCCACACCCTACCCCTAACCCAACCGTATGATGACAGGTAAGTATGTCATTTGTTTCGTTCCCTCTTTACGGTCTGTATTTGCACTGCAACCAAGGGAGTGAACTCCCACTAAGCGACCGTCGGCTTTGCAGCTAGCGATCGTTATTTAAAGGAGAGCCGAAATTCTGAACGAAGCTCATTTGCAACACCTAAGCACAAATGCGGACACCCCCCCACATAGTATAAAAAGCTGACTAACAACTTCCACAGACCCTCCTGGAGGATCAAATAACATGCAAGGATACTTGTGACTGGGTAGGAGTAGAGAAAAATGAGGCAGTAGATGAGGTAGTGGCTGGAGTCCTCCGTAAACAAGCGCCGCAGAAACTCCATGTTGAGCTGGACTTGTGGGATACGTTGATGCAACCGCAAGGCGCTTGTGGCTGCTGCAGCGATTAGTGCTCTTTGGTAAAATATGTACGGATTGTCCCTGAAATATTGAGGGAAAAAGCATCAAAGTTACGTATTTCATAGAAAACCAAACTGGTGTTAATTCTAAAATGAAATTTCTGAATATTTTTTTCAGTTCAAATATTAAATAACATCTTCAATATCATTATCATCATTTTCAAAGCAAAGGTTGATGAACTTTGCAAAATTCACATAAACTTAATGTAACAAATCCACACTGGGGCACAGTGGGGACATGTAGCAGGACAGAGCCTGCTGGTGCCTAAGGTGAGGTAAGGATGACTCCCCCTTCGACGCCTCACCGCGGCTTTAACATTCCCTCCGCAACCCACATGAGTGGTTGTGCCACAACAGTGGTGGGTCTAGACATCCTGTGGGCCCATGTAACTAATTTAAGGGATCCCTTATAAAACATACACAAAACCAAACAACAACCTACTACTTCAAAAAAAAAAAAATGTGACCTTGGTTTTTTCCTGGCTCTATGCAGTGGTACACACAATTTGAGTGCACATTTTTTTCTATAAATATTTTTTCTGGATATGATATTAAAAAGCTTGGAGGGAGTGGGAGGGGGTGCAGTAGAATCTAAAAATAAGAAGAGTTAGAGGTTTTTTAAGGAACCAGTCTAGAATCAGAATTCCCTATGTGGGTTCTGGGGCCCCATTGTGGGAAAAACAAGAATAGACTCACTGCCTCCCAACAGGCATGTTGTAGAAGGACCAATTTGCCAGTAAAATGTATGTACATGAAAAACACAAACCCTGGCACATAGCTATAGCTCAAATGGATGAAAAATCAGGACTTTCCGCTGGTTAACAAACAACAAGGAGAAGAATTCGGACAGACATATTTCTGTCTGTTTAAAGAAATATATGTACTTGCAGCTTACCCCAACAGTGGAATCAAGAACAGGATACTGCAGACAATGGTGAAAATTCTCGTCAGCCACAAGGTTGTCTCTACTTTGTTCTGCATCATGTGGGCCTGTGTGAATATACACATAACATTAAGGTACACTTGTCTCCTGCCATGACAGGTTGTATGAAAGCATTAGATAGTAGGTTGTATGTTAACTTCCATTGTTACACAGACATAATGAGGTTAAAGAAATCATAATGAGGTTAAAGAAATCATAATGAGGTTAAAGAAATCATAATGAGGTTAAAGAAATCATAATGAGGTTAAAGAAATCATAATGAGGTTAAAGAAATCATAATGAGGTTAAAGAAATCATAATGAGGTTAAAGAAATCATAATGAGGTTAAAGAAATAATATTTGCATGATGAACAGAGAGTTTTCAACATATGGCTGCGACTACTGGATAATCAAGATGGAGAATTTCTGGACAGCCAAAATGAGCAGCCCAGACTTTTTGCAAAAAGCCAGAGCCTGAAGAGAACTTATCACAAACATCAGAAAGAGATAATCATCATCATTATAAGAAAAAGGAAACTGGAGCAGGCTGTGACCACTGGAAAGGTATTTGGAAAGAAAGGTCAGAAAGGCAATGTGAGAAAATTGTTACAGCCTCCTGTCACCCCAAATGAACTGATGCATGCTGCGGAGAATAGCAGATTGTGCAGAGGCATGATCTCCCATGCCAGGTGGCAAGTGCTTGATGAGATTAAAGAAACATAAGGCTTATTCAGTTACCACCATTACAAATGCACCAGATATAGGTTGCATGCTTATTCTCTTTGTTCAAAACTGTAAGCACTGGAGGAAAGTCCCGGCTGTTCATCTATTTGAACTCTGTGCCAGCATGTACATCAGTTTTACAGGCTTATTTTTGGGCAGTTGGTTATTCCTTAATGCTCCCCTTGGTGAGATAGGACGTTCTGAGGATTTTGGAAGCAACGTGTCCACATCCCTTCTGAGATTACATGAATTGGGAGTGAAGATAGGCACAGCCAAGCATGAGAAGCATACTGGATGCACACAAAGTCTTGTTAACCAACATAGGACTGGTACTATTAACCGCACGATGCTGATGAATATGTTGAGAGGGGAATCTGAGCACCTATGGATGCGTCCGGAGTGCTGTTAAGATAATCTAACTCATAACTCCTTGATGCTCGGGCACATGCACACTGACTTCAAAGGAAATCCCCAATTAGTCGACTCCTGTGACATGCTTGTTTGGGAGGCAGTGGGTCTATACAACCAATTATCATTTTTGAGGTAGCAATCATTTGAACGATATACATACATCTCAAAGAAAGAAACAAGATTAACTATGAACCGCAGAAGGTTACAGAGTACTGATCAACATTTTAAAGTGACAAAAAGATGGTTTAACCATGTCTGCATTTAGATATGTCAATCTGATCAAAACTAGTCCTAATCCCATCAAATTGGCCAACAATGAAACATTTAATGCCAGCATCAACTCAACAACTTATTAAAAAAACAAACACAACTAATTTATGCCTGTATTTACTACTTTTGGGATGTAAGCAATGCAAGGGGGTGGGGGGGGGGGAGGAGTCATTTTAGCCGGAGTATTAGGGGCTTGAATGGCTAGTGCAGTCAGCACGATTTGTGCAGGTTATGAATATATTTTTTCCAGTGACAGAAATATATCCATGACCTAACAGAGGATTCGAACCCCCCCCCCCCCCCCCCCCCACTTCAAAGTTACCGACACTGTAAACATTTTAACATTACCAAAACTGAGTTGCCAGAAGGTGTTCTTTGTGGGCCTTCTCCAGAGCCATCATTAGAAGTACTACTTGTTCCAGAAGTATCGGCCATTACTGCAGAAAACAAACAAATGTAAATTAAACAGGAATTTCTTAGATCGGCAACAATAATGACTATCACAACTTGCTGGTTGTGCGTTTCCCTACTATGTTAACACCTACATACTTTCTTCTTCTTCTTATCCAAGCCCTTGATAGATATCACCCGCCTCCATTCATCTCTGTGGCTGGTCTTCTCTATCTCCATCGTCTTCTTGGTCTGCCTTGTGGCCTACGACTTATCATCTCCCTTGTGTATACAGTTTTCACTTCTCTGTCATTTGACATTATCTCAATATGCCCCAACAATTTCAGTCTATCAGCTCTCATGATGCCAATGATCAATGGTGATTTAAACAGATTATTAATTTCGATGTTGCTTCTTACTCCCCATTCTCCGCTGTTTGCATCTTTGATGGGTCCAAAGATTTGTCATAAGACTGTTTTTGAAAACCTGTAATAAGGCCTCATCTCTTTTAGCTGTGCTCCAAGTTTCAGAGCCATGTAAAACGACTGGTCTTATCAACATTTTATATATTTTGATCTTGGTGTTGCATGACAGACTTCAGCAGATGTTGAAGGGCATGAAAATGTCAAATGTTTGAGGTCTTTTCTACTTTTGTTCACCTTCCTCCAGTTATTTCAAAAAAGTAAGAAGGAAGCAGAGGGTTGGAGAGAGGAAGGGATCCAAGGATCTTTCGTAAGTGTTGTGTAGGTCGTCTTCTTTTCTGTGAGATTGTTCTTGATGCCACTGTTCAATCTTGTGTATGGTTTTTCTCTTCCGCTGTACTCACTGTATTTCTTCAACGTGGTTTTGTCTGATATATCTTCGACAAAGAAGATGAGAAATATTGACATCTTAAAAGATCCGAACATCTAGGAAAATTGGCCAATAAACAGCATCCTTTCTCGAAAGATGAAATATTTTGGTCACATCAAGCGCTACGACGGATTGGACAAAATTATGGCAGAAGGCATGGTACCAGGAAGGAGGGGCAGGGGCCAACCGACATGAAGATGGGCACAGGATATAAGTGACTCCTTGAGTGTGAAAGTGCATGAGGCGGGAGAACTGGCGAGAGACGGAGTTTGTTTCAGGCAGACTGTGATGAGAGCGATGTTCTGCAAAAGGACCTGCTACATGATGATGATGATGGTTTTGTCCACGAGGTGGTACCAGGGCATTCTTGTCAGATGGCTAAACATGTCATATGTTGTTCCTTTTTTTGAAGCTCTAGCATTTAAAAAAAAAACTATAATAGAAGAAGAAGCAGAAGAAATTTGGAGCCTTGTTAAATTTTTTACTAAACACCAGGGGGTTAAAATCAATGATCACAAAGTAGACAGATAAGCCTGCTAGCTTTTGCATTATCGGTAGCAAAAGTGATTTTCTTCTTCTTTTTTAATAGGAAGGGAAGTAACAACTGTTTTCCTTGCCTTCGATTAGGAAAACAGGTTTTGATGACAGCCTCAGAAAGCAAAGTGATATAAGTTTATTAAGACATCATAAAGGCTCTCCAACAAATATCTACAAATATTTGTGTGTGTAAATATACCCACCATGTCTTCACACTATACAGATGCAACTAGTACCAAAGATATCAAATCATCATTATGTGCCCTGCCAAATGGCATAGGCGCTCGTGCGTCTCCACAGATCATGATCCCTGGAACAGCTCTCTTGATGATATCCCTCCATGCCATCGTTTCAGCCCATCCAGCATCATCTCTCTTGGTCTGCCTCTACCCCATTATCCACTGATCTTTCCAGTTGTCAGATATCAAAACCCTATAAAATTCAGAAAACTGGTTTTCTCTGGGTGATAGTGTTAAAAAGACTGATCTTTCTCTGCACCCACATTTATTGTCTCTTCTCTAACACTTTCCTTACTTCCTGTAAGCTAACCTATGGAGTCCCGTGAGCTTTAAAAAAGAAAAATTTATCTTGCTGCATCAGTGTCTGTTCGTCTGTACTGTCTAGCCACAATGTTGACTGTCATTTGTGATTATGACACCTGGTTCCACTATCCATTTTCATTGATATACACATCCTAGTTGTAGTTTTCCTGCATATCTCTCCTTTTCGTCTGTTTGCCCCTAAAAGTAAAAGGGTACTTGGCATGCTGTGGTTTATAGCTAGACTGTGATCTAGGCCTCAGCCCAAAATATCAGATTTAAGTAAATATATAATTTACTAATTAGTCAACTTCTGTTTAAAAGCAGTGGTATACTTACCCAAACACCCCCCCTCTCCCCTTCCTTTCCAAGGGGCTCCAGAACACATACAGTGGGATATTTCGGCTATCCTTCGAAAAACGGTCCCAAATGAACTACGCAGACAGTTAACCCACACAGCCTCACAACACAGACAGTTAACCCAAACAGAGCCTCACACATATGTGAAATTCGCACTTTTTTTGCGGCGATTCAACCGTGTCAAAAGTAGCATTAACTGCGCATGACATTTTGGCGGAACGCAACAGATATTTTTACGACGATTACACGGCAGCAAAACAAGGAATAACTGCGGATGAAAAAAATTATCGACAATACTCCAGATAGCGCTATCCTACGGCAGGGCCTGAGTTATATGTAAGTTGCCGACTACAGTGCCACCTCCGAGAGTATCCCCCGCGCCGCTATGCTACGGAGGTGGCACTATAGTCACCGGGACAAAAGCCAACAATTTACAGGAGCTACGACTTTTGACGGAACTACCAGCGGCATCGTGGCGGCTGCTCGTTTGAAGTTGTCCGAGCCGACATGCGCGTATATTACACAGCGCATTACAGGCTGGTCATGTCTCGCTCGCAACGAGAATCGCGGATAAGCCGTGGTGCTGAGGTCCAATGGCGGCAGAGCGAGAGAGAACAGATATTCGGGCACTATTTGGAACTTCTGTGTCACAATTGTCATGTATAGAGGATGTCACTATTGGTAAGTAGTAGATTTCCCCCATTTTCCTGATACTTTTCTTTCAAATGTTTGTAGGGCAGGGCGTAATGAGGCTCTATTTAGGATAGCTGTCTGCGTAGTTCATCTGGGACTGTTATTTGAAAGATAGCCAATATTTCGTTTAAAATATGCAATTTGCAGTAGACCGTTCTTTAACCTCTAAATATGTTATAAGATCCCCCATAGGCCACAATAAGATCACCCAATTACTTTAGAACTAGAGTACAGTAACAACTACTATTAGTATATAGTAGTATTTAGTATTAGTAGTACCACTAGACTATAACTATAGTAGTGTTAATCTATATTATTATATAGTTAGTATTATTCTTGTCAGTAAGGTGAATAATTAAAATTTAAAAAAAAAGCAGAAAATATATTGTTAATTATAATTATTCGTATAATAAGAACGTTACCGTTACTAATAATGATCAAAATATTAATTTCTGTTTTTTTAAAACGTGAATTCTCATTAAACCCATACAATGCAAGTCGTTTCTGTTGGTGGTGATAATTGGAATGAAGATGGTCAGCAATGTTTCGAACCCCTGTTCTATATTCAACCACCTTTACGTTAGCTGATCAATGATAACTTACTTCCAGATAAGAAATCGTCAAGTACTGAGGCAAATGGAACGTAAATGTGTCTAAGTTTCTCTAAAAGAATCGAATTTTTGTTCTCGTCTTTTCCATAAGCTGAAGATGATTGTGCAGGTATCTGACCTTTCTTCTACTTCACGGCAAGAAGATTGTTGGACTTCCTGCTGATGTCGTACAATTCGTACTTAAATAGTATCAACAATATATCAATGGAAATTTGACACATCCTGAGGAGGACGCCCAAAAGAAGCATCAAAACGAACGTTGATGAGAGAGGCCAAGGCTGCTGGACTGGATTCTATTCATGATATTGAACTGATTATACAGGATATAAGAGAGTGGAGGAATAGACTGCGAGCCCTATAAACTATGTGGCAGTACTGTAGATTCAGATTAGGGAACTGATGGAGATATTAAAATACGATCACAAAAGGCAAGAGAAACTTTCGTAGCACTAGGAAATTTGTGGAGATTTCATATATATATATATATATATATATATCAACAGTAATACAGAACAAGCAGTTGTCAAATTAGCTTCTGTTTATGTACGTCAAACACTGATCCCAGTGTATTCATGCACTCATATACTGTGACTGTACAAACTTCGTTGTTGAGATATGTAGCGTAAAAAAAAAAAAAAATTCTGACTTGAATAGATATTTTTTCAACCCTGAAGAAATTAGCGTTCTAACAGGAATGCGTCGTAAATTAAAAAAAAAAAAATAAAGGAAAAAGTTCTAAGGAGACTAGGAACGAAAGAGGATTTGATAAATAAAATGAAACAGACAATGAAGCCAACAAAAAGCATACACTTGGGTCTTGCACCCCCTGAAATAGTCGAGTGTTCCGTCAGCTGTGGATTTTCCGTGTTTGGGGTAACTAAAAAAAAAAAGACCAAAAAGCATAACACTCTTATTTTTTGTTTAAAGGGTTACTGTGAGGAACACACGCAAGCGAGCGAGAGATAAGCCCTGTTACAAGCGGGCTGAAAACACCAAGACACTGGCGAACTGCAGCAATCTCAGAGAGAGAAAGAGAGAGAGAGAGAGTGAAAACAGGACTAGAGAATGCCAGAAATCCATTGCAGCCAATTTAATTATCAAAGATTATAATAACTGTTTGCAATCGAGATGAAGTCCTAGCATATTCCGTAGCAGTGAAAAACAAAAGCACACAAACAGACACACTACACCATACCACACATACAAATACTCACACACTGACACAGACAACTTTGTGTGGCTAATGTGGGGCAGAATAGAGATCTCAAAACGATAATCGTGAACAAATATATCTATTAATCTTTCACTAAACGTCATTATAATCTCTCTCGCTCTCTCTCTCTCTCTCTCTCTCTCTCTCTCTCTCTCTCTCTCTCTCTCTCTCTCTTTCACGCACACGCACGCGAGCAGACAACTATACATAGACACACAATTCATTGTGTGTATGTGTGTGTGTGTGTGTGTGTGTGTGTGTGCGCGCGCGCATGAAACTATAACTCATGGTTTTATTCGAAAACATTAAGATGCTATAAGTGCAAACGAATAAGAATAATTCCATCATCACTATCATTATAATCTCCCACTGGCTATTCTCTCTCTCTCTCTCTCTCTCTCTCTCTCTCTCTCTCTCTCTCTCTCTCTCTCTCTCTCCATTTCTATCTTCTTCTTCTTCTTCTTCTTCTTCTTCTTCTTCTTCTTCTTCTTCTTCTTCTTCTTCTTCTTCTTCTTCTTCTTCTTCTTCTTCTTCTTCTTCTTCTTCTTCTTTACGTTCATCGGCTGTAAACTCTCGCTGAAATTCTGGCTGTTCGTTCACTTGTGGACTTTAGTCTTATTTCAGAATTTGAGTTTTGTATGCACATTCGTTTTAACGATTTGGCTTTTTGTATGCAGATTGTTGGTTCTTTGCCTCTCAGGCAGATGCACTCCAACTTTAAAGGAATCCTCATAATTAGTCCACTTTTACGACATTCATGTTATGGGGGTAGTAGCTCTATTATTCTTCTGATTGTGCAGCGTCATGAATGCCGCAAATCTTTAGAGTGCTGGTAAAGCCTCAAGACCCTTTGCATGCAGAACAAATCTGTAGAACCAAATTACATGACGTCATCAAAAAAATTTGCTCAGAAGACATTATACGTTGGTTACAATAGCTACGGCTATGGTCTAACGCTGTCTTGGGGGGGGGGGGGGGGGGGGGGGGGGGTTGGAAAGTACCAATGAACAATTTATTATGGCAGGTCTTTGAAATGTCAACCACAGGCTTTAAGACATTATTGTACACGTCTTTTCATTTTGTCAGATACCTTTTGTAACGCGTCTGTTGTTATTTTTTGAATGGTAATTCTGATTACCAGGATGGGCTGTCCTGGGAAAGTAAAGACAGCCGGCGTAATGCTGACCACATTACCCACAGAGTGCTGATGGTCTGTAAAAATATGGGACGCTCTGCCCATATGCCCGATGCGCCGAAAGGCGTGAAAAGGGATCTTTACTTTTTTTTTTTTAATTCTGATTACTTCCGTTGATAACACTCTTCTCTTTTGAGTGCGAAGAATTACTCAAGCAGACGACATATATTTACTGCAAATTGCATCGCAATTGACAGTCGAGCACGTTTGTTGGATGACGTCGCTAACTTAAAAAAAAAATACTTTGTCTACATACAAAGTGTGACGGGATCTTACAAATATACTGTATCTTCTTATCTTCTTCTTCTTCTGCCTTTTTATCCCCCAATGGAGCATAGGCCCTCAACCAACTCACGCCAAGTCGTTCTATCCTTCGCCATTACATGGAGCTCTCCCCATGTCCTCCCAATCTTTCTAACCTCATTCTCCAGCTCTCTTCTCCATGTGTTTTGTGGCCTTCCTTTATTCCTATGCCCCTGTGGGTTCCAATGCAAAGACATTCTAGTTATGCTGTTCTCCTGTTTTCTCAGTGTGTGTGCCCTATCCAACGCCAGCGTCTTTCCTCACCTCCTGATCCACTGGAGCCTGTTTAGTTCTCTCCCAAAGTTCTACATTAGTTATTCTATCATACCATTTTATTCCCTCTATTCTGCGCAGGCACCAGTTAATGAATGTCTGTAATTTATTAGTAATTGCCTTCGTTGTTCTCCATGTTTCCGCCACATACATTAGTACTGATTTGACATTAGAATTAAAATTTTTTGGTTTGGTATTTCTTTTAATTTCTTTTGACCTCCACAAATTCCCTAGTGCTATGAAAGCCCCCTCTTGCCTTTTGTATTCTTATTTTAATATCTCTATCAGTTCCTCCATCTTTATCTACATTACTGCCCAAATAGGTGTACGACTCCACGTCTTGGAGTGGGGTGCCATCAAGAGAAACCACATTACTATTTGCCTGATTTATTCTCATATCTTTTGTCTTTCCTTTATGGATTTTCAGACCAAGCTGCTGTGATCTCGCATTAAGTATATTTAATTTATCTTGTATCTGATTCCGTGAATGGGACAGAAGGGCAATATCATCAGCGAAGTCCAGATCATCAAGCTGTTTTTTAGGAGTCCATTGAATTCTATTCTTGGTGTTAGCAGTTACTGTTTTCATAGTCCAGTCTATAGCCAGTAAAAATATAGAGAGGCGACAAAAGACATCCCTGTCGCAAACCTGTTTTATTTTGAGTGTATCTGTTAGCTTTCCCTCATGAAGAACTCGACATTTCATGTCTGTATATGTTGCCTTTAGAAAGTTAATAATTTGTCTGTGGTATTCCATAGTGCCCCATCAATTTCCAGAGAGATTCCCTATCAATGCTGTCAAATGCTTTTTCATAGTCTATAAATCCAATGTAAAGTGGTGAGTTCAGTTCAATGCTTTGCTCTATTATAATACGTAATGTGGCTATCTGATCAGTACAGGATCTGTTGGACCGAAAACCCGCCTGCTCATCTCTTAGCATTTTATCAATAGCATCTTTTAATCTTTCCAAAATAATTCTACTTAATATTTTTCCAGGAACTGACAGCAACATAATTCCTCTATAGTTTTCACACTCCTGTAGATCACCTTTTTTGGGCAGTTTCACAAGATATCCTTCCCTCCAGTCTGTTGGTATTTCTGTATCTTCTTATAGGGGGTGGAAAAAAAGGGGGCGGGGTGGGGGGGGGGGGGGGGGGGCTTCTTTCTTCTGTATCAGAGCTTCCTTCTTAGACGCAACTTCTGTTTTGGCAAATCAGTAGCTGTGTTCTAACAAGATGCCATTAACGCCCTGTTGCCTAGTTACAATTCTGTTGTTGGACCAAGTATCATGTTCGTTTTGGCCATATAGCGTGTTCGCTTTTTGTCATGTATCATGTTCGTTTTTGACAAAGTGTCATGTTCGTTTTAGATCAAGTATCGTGTTCGTATCCCACAGATCTGATAATCTGAGAGAATTGATCATCCATAAACAGCATCCTATCCCGAAGGTGGGGGTATTTTGGCCATTTCAAACGTCACGGTGGCCTTGAGATAACGACTATGGAAGGTGCAGTTTTCGGAAAACGAAGCAGAGGCAGACCTCGGCGAAAGTGGATAGAAGACATAGAAGATACACTGGTTATGAAAGCACATCGGTCTGGAGAATTTGCTAGAGAAGAGAGATTTCATGCGTGCCGTTACGAAGGCGATGTTCGGTATAAGACCTGTTTATTGATGATAAGCAAAGTAACGTGTCTGTTGCGGATCACTTATTATGTGCGCCTTTTCTAACCAAATATCTTGTTCGTGGTTGGACCAAGTATTGTCTTCAATTGTGGACTTAGTTTTATGTTCGCTGTCTGGACAAGTACCGTGTTCATTGGTAAGTACATATTACCAAAGCTATCACCACATTTGATTATTACTAGATGAACAGCTACTCAAAATGGACAAAAGTAACAGGGACCAGGTTTCATACGTAAACAGTCTTTCTTGTAAGGGTTTATGTGGCTGTCTCATGAGCCCCGAAGTCTAGATTCATGTTATATCATTGGCAAGACCGGCCAGTGAGTGGCCATCGTCTGGCAAACAAGTTCATGGTCGTTTGTTTGAACTTTGAACTCATAATGAAGTAGACAAAGATGTTGATGGAGGAGTTGATTGCCTCCACCAAGTACGCAACAGACCAGGTTATGTGGTAAATGTTGGGTATGTCGCTCCCTTTGTTGAAACGTGGAATGGTGGATTTGCACATCTGGATAGCATTCAGCGGAATAAAACTTACGATGAACACTAAGGATAGAACAACAACCATTTTTCCGACACGAGCGTCGCGTCTCGTTGAGGTGTTTGACGACTGCGTAGTGCTTGTTTTCCGAAAATGCTGGTAGCGACGTAGGCTGAAGATTAGATCTATGCTGCACACGAATACTAGTAGGAAAGAGAACCAACCAAATACAGATCCTAGGGCGAAAGTCCACTGATCAATTTCACGTCGGTTGTTTGAGAAGTCGAGTCCTAGCAGTGATTTGTTGCCTCTGTTCCTGTATGTTTTCCAAGCAAGGTTGGTAGAGAAGTATATCGGAGATATGCTGGCGATCATGGAGGTAAAGATGCTGACGAGAACAGTCACAGCACGGCGAGGTGTGATCATCGTCTTCACTCTTAAAGGAAACCGTACACAAAGACACTGCTCTAGGGTGACGAAGGCGACGATGAGGTTAATGATTCTACTGAAGCAGAGCCTGGGCATTCCAGCCAACAGGTAGGCTGCCTCACTGGAGTGGAATGAGACGTCTAAGTTGAAGAACAGTGGGTTGTAACACAGACCTAGAAATATGATGGCAAACAGGCTACCGATGTCTGCCATAGCTAGTGCTGCTAACGTTACATTGACGGTGTCGTCAATGCCGTGCTGGCAGAAGACAAGGACGTTGACGATGTTGGTTCCTACACCAAACACACCCACCATGGGATACAAGCTGACCAGAAAGACCAGTTTCACCACGTAAGCGATATCATTGTCCACATCTCGTATGATGTCATTCTGGTCAAGCACATGATCGCCCATTCTTGCGAACTACTATTTGCATCTGTTTTTCCCTAGGGGAAAAAACCCAACAGAGATGCCGGTACTTACTATAAAGTTTTTATTACGGTAGCTTTGGGGATTGGGAATGATAATTAAAAAGGTGCTTATACAGCTAAAATATGTATAAAAGCAATGGCTCTCTGTATATGTTCCCTCTCCGGACTGCTACCTGCCGGTTCGATCACCCCTGAGACTTCAGAAGTCTCATCCTGTATGGCAGACCACCATGACAAGTTTCAGATATCCTGCGCAACCTCCACTGAAGTTATAATTAGAGCACTGTTACTGGCTGCACAAGCATGGTGTAGATCGCAGTTTTGTACGATGAGGACATATCGATGAACTAATATAGTTTTATTAGCGAAATATATCATGAGATGACCTCCTGCTTCTTCGTGTTCACCAGCTGTAAACTCCAGCGGAAAGTTCTGGTTGTTCGTCCACCTTTAGACGTTAGTCTTATTCCAAAATCTGTGTGTTGCGAGCACATCCGTTTTTTTACCCCTGACTTATTTGTGTGCAGCAGACTGTTAGTTCCTTCAGGCAGATGCACTCCGACTTCGAGAGAAACCCCTAGTTAGTATACTCTTACATTTGGATGGGAGAAGGGAATTAGTAGGCCTATACTTTATTTCCCCCTCAATGGGGCCTCGGAAAGCACACGGAGAGATCAAATGGCCGGTTTGGACTCTTTACTACAGGAATTGTTTCATAAATTGGTTAGCGAAATATTTGAGCTCATGGTCTTTTTCCATCACTATGGCAAGCACTTTCTAAACCAAAATATTCACGACAATGCAAACATCAGCTCATCTGTCACCAAGAAAAGGTCACAACCTCTGGTATTTACAGGAACAACAAGACAACAGCACATCGGCAGCTGTGTGAAGCTTATCCGGCAATAGACGACGTGGCTTGAATACAGGATGCAATACAAGTCTCTGTGATTTGCTTTCCCAATATGGCAAGTTTTCTTTTGTTCGTTGATTCACACTTTCGTAGAAGCGTTCATTATATCGGAGTGCGTCATTAATTTTCTTGCATGAAAAAGGGGTAATATAACAGTACTAGTGACCGTTGGACAATCCAGATTTTTTTTCAGTGTGTTCTGACCAAATGCAAAAGTAAGTGAGCATATTGAGCTAGGGAGGGGATTCGGAAATATGAGGATTCACGCACCATGCGTTGTTTGGGACTCAGAGAGTTAAGCCATACTTTGTGTTGTGCTAATTTGGTTTAGGCACGGCCTTTGTTAGTTATCATACTCAGTAGTCGAGGTTTTAACTTTTCTTTAACGTCTCATTCCATCATTGCTACGTCCATGTGTAAGCAGAAATCACAGAAACTGCACTTCACTATCCTATTTGAAAATTAGTGAACAGGCAATCAGTCCGGAAAAAAATCCTGAAGCATATATACACAGTAAATGCATGATGCAGTCGCTAGAGTTGCAAACATCAACAGTCCGCCACCAGAATGGCAGTGTTTCGTTGACGAAAGTAGTCATTCATGAAAAGTTGGCAGCAGACAAGCAAAATTATTGTATAAGGCACATCGCCAGCCCGAAGGCAGACGGAGCAAGCCTCGTTTTCTAAAAATCACAAAAACAAACCGCTGCAGACACGTTCAGGTAATTCCCCTTGCGCTTATCTGACGCATCAGATGGAACACTCTTTTTGAAATTCAACTCAAGTAGGACGGACACGATGTCAGCATAATTGTAATATAAACTACCTTAAAATTACCAGTCTGAGTTCCACGGACGACTGTGAGATAGATATCTTTGCGTGTAAAAAAGAAATAACACAATGACGTAACAGTTTTGCTTTCACCGGAAATTATCTTAGCTCACGTCTGTAGTATTTGCTGCATTAACATTGTTAGCATACACATCTATTTTCAGCCAATACAGTATAACATTTTATGACAAGCCGCGTAGAGCAGACACCCATGTTCCGAGACATGTATCTCTTTGCAGTGCTTTTGATAAGTTGAATATTGATCCGTTTTTATTCCACACTGCTAAAATATCTATCACGTTCTCGCTTTTTTTTAAGGTTACCATGTGAATGGGACATGGGGTAGAAAGATGGTTGAGTAAACACTGTTCGCTGATTCGGTAGAGTTTAAAATGTGTTTTAGTATGCGTTTTTAACACCTATATGTTCACATAAGACCCAAACAGCAATTAATAAAATTAAGAACATATTATGCAATAAATCAATGTCAATGGAGGTTGCCAAAAGAATTTCGCAAGCTGTATAGAGCCACTTTTAACATACGACTGTGAATTGAGAATTGGCTAGAGAAAGTGAAACTTTCAGGCGCGCTGTGAGGAGAGCGACGTTTTATAAAGGTTGCGCTGGGTAATTAACTGGTTAAATATATTTTAAATGATATGAAATTTACAAAAAAATACTTCAAACAGAACGTATTAAATGGTTAGGTAGACGACTTGGGCTTCTTAAAAATAGTATAAGGGAGGTAAAACAGCACCCCCGCCCCCAATCCAATCTTAAATTATTGTGGATGGCAGCCATGAAACATGTTGGAGAGGGGTTCCAGGTGCGCGAGCCGCCAGGTTCCGGCACCCCCTTGAGGTAGTTAGGACGTTGCGGAACCAACCTCGGCATATTAAAAAAAAAATCTGTTTTGGTTTTTCTAGCAAACTTTACGTTCAGTAGTTTGCCACTCCTTCCTCAACGGTCAGCTTTCAGGTCCACTGTCGAAAACAATGTAAGACAAATTGTCAGCAGCTGGGATTGAACCTGGCACACTGGCATTACAAAGCGCCTTTGCAACGCCTAAGCCACAGACAATAACAGGTAGTACTTGAGGTTGTTAGTAATCGGTAATAAAAGAAAGATGGCGAAAAGGTGATGGTGGGGGGGGGGGGGGTGACGATGAGATCGAAATCAGTGAGTCAACACGTTACATTCAGCACGTGCAAATAATGCAAATATGAAGTTCAACTATAGGGTTATGGAGAATTTCTTTCTTTTCATGACAAAGTGGCAGAACGATTTCTTTACTTGTGTCAACATATTTTCCTGAGTATTTAGCGACATCAGTACAAAGTGACTCGAATAGCCGGTTAAAAATACAGCGCTCTTTTTCACGTCATAGTGTTATCCATAGGCGCCACGACCTGGTGGCACAAGCACCATGAGACCCCCCCCTACCACACACACACACATACTACACTGCCGAAAGATCTGTGTTGGGTGGGGGTACTAAGACATCGCCTAATAATTTTCCAGAAGCAGAGATCCCCCCTCCCACCCCCACAATCAACAGGCGTTCTCTTTTTAAGGATTTTTAAAATATGTTTTAAATTATTTAAAACTTTTAATCTACCCTTCAGCACAGTATAATAATGATTATTTTTTTTTTTTTATTGTGTAGTAAACATAGTTTAGGTATCTTGTGGTTTCTCTACCCAAATATTTTTTTTTTAACTGGTGGGAACTCAAGGGTTTCAACCTTGTTTAATTGGGAAAAAATATTAGTATTAATAACTGTTTTATTATTATTATGGAACTTCAGAAGAAGATTCCAATTAATCGATTCTTACGACATGCTTGTGGGTGGGCAGTGGGTCTATTCTTGTTTTCCCTATAATAGGGCCCCGGAACCCACACGGAGAATTTTAAGTATACAGTAACCATGAGTTGTAAGCCCTTTGGCTCGGTACTATGGATATCGCAACCCTTCGGCCTTCATTCCATGATAGTTACCGTAAATCTGGGAGAAATGTGGCTTTTCTGCCTACCCCCGGGCGTGAGCCCGGACCACAAGGAAGTTCGTCACCCGGTCGCTGCGCGGAGGGTTTTACCCAACTGCGCTAGCGAGCTGGTCGTGTGGTTTTCAAATCAATATATCCAATTTAAGCAGCCTTTCAGTTAGTCGCCTTTCTCAACATGCTTTCACGACATGCTTGCCTTCTTCTTGGCGTTCACCACATGTGAACCCTGGCGGAAAACCCAGGCTGTTCGTCCACTTCTGAACTCTGGTCTTGTTCCAGAGCTTGAGTTTTGCGGGCACATTGGTTTTAAAGGTCAGGCTTAACTGTATGAATACTTTTCTTCTTCTTCTTTGCGTTCACTAGCTGTAAACTCTAGTGGAAAGTTCTGGTTGTTCGTCAACTTCTGGACTGCAATCCTGTTCCAGAACCTGAGTGTTGCGTGTGCATCCGTTTGACAGATCTGACACATTTGTGTGCAGACTGTTGGTTCCTTTCCGCTTAGGCAGATGCACTCCGACTTCGAAGGAAGCTCCCAATTAGTCGACTCTTACGACATGCTTGTGGGTAGGCAGTGGGTCTATTCTTGTTTTCCCTATAATGGGGCCCCGGAACCCACACGGGGGATGTATACTTTTAATTCCTCGCCTTTCAAGCAGATACATTCCGAATTCAAAAGAATCACCTCGAGTTAGTTTTTAACACACAGTTAAAAATATGTCGGTACTCACCATAAAGTGTTAATTACAGTAGTAAAGTAAAAGCAAAGTAAAGGACCCTTTTCCTCGCCTTTCAGGCACATTGGGCATACAATGCTAAACCTAGATTTTAAAGACACACCGGCACTTGGTGGGTGATGTGGTCCCTGTCACGCCGGCCGCCTTTACTTCCCAGGACTGTACTTGGTACCCACTCAAGGCTGGGTTGACCTAAGAGCCAAGGTCATTTTTGAAAAATGTCCGATCCCCGTCAGAAACCAAACCCACGACCTTCCGATCCGCCGATAGACTACGGCGGCTCCCTTATTACCGTAGTGCTGAAAAACGCAAATTATTATTATTAGGCACCTGAGCAAGGAGCATGTCCTTGGAATCAAACAATGCAGTAACATACTTTGAGGGGGAGAAGGGCCATTCGGGTCAATCAGGTTAAAAGGTTGTTCCATATCCTTTACAGGACGTTGCAGAACCAACCCCAACAGCCCCTGGCTGTTGTGTGGTTTTTCTAGGCAAATTTACGTCCAGTAGTTTGCCATTGCCTTCTGGACGGTCGGCTTTCTTGATACCACTGTCGAAACCAACGCAAGGCGCATGGCCTGCAGCTGGGATCGAACTAGGCATCCCGGCATTACGAAGCGTTCGCATCGACTTAGCCACAGAGCCGACCGGTCAGTCAGAAATCAACTGAATTTGTGAGGACTACCGCTTACTTGACCGGCATTGGCAGGTCATCATTGTACAGGTTTTTTGAGGTTTCTGAACAACAGTTCAACATCATGGCACACGGGTAGTAACCCATAAGTGCTCCGTTCTTCTTCTTACTCAAGTCCGAAGAAGCTCAGCACAGTGAACAGGCTATGTAGCACCGACGAGGATCCTGAAATAATTTGGGTAGATTTTTAACTCCGAATTTTGACCGGGCAGCCCCGTTATGCTACTCTTTTCTATTTCCAACTGCCAAAAGATTTTTTATGTGCGCATCAATGCACACGGGCGTCCGATCTCACTAACCAGAGACCAGGGTGAATTACTGAAAGTCCAAGTCCACGTGAAAAAATCTCAGCCCTTATTTACCAGGGTATTGAACCCAGAACCTCTAGCACTCGCGGCGGACACCATGCATCGAGACCACGCAGCTTCCAACATTTAACAGGACATGACACAAACTTAACTAGCATATGCACAGGCTTCGTCTAAGTAGTTCACCGTTGTGCCAGTGTGGTTTCTATACTAACTGCAGAATATGTCCTGCAAGGTTTTCCTTGTACAGTCCATTAAGAAGGGAAGACGGGCTCACTGAGTCAACACCATACTCGAAGATGTATGGAACTAAAACAGTCAATTTTATGAACTGGTCTGTCGGAGTAAATCAGAGAGTGTTCACTACAAGAAAAAAAAAAAACAAAGTATACAACCGATAGAATACCATTTGTTTATCATTCTACTTCTGTGGCTTCAAGGATCTCTGGAGATTTATTTGAAAACATATAGATTGTATACACGATCTGGCAACACTTGAGATACAAGACAGCACTGTCTGTCTCAACTCATCGGCAGACAAGTTTCTCAGCTTGCCAGCATTTCGGGCACACGTCTGTGGCCTTCCGCTCGGCAGCCCAGACTGATTCAGTGTCCACACATGCCCTCCCCACAGTTCACTTGCACACGCTTTCATAACTGATGTGTCCTCACCAGTGGAAGCATGTGGGGGTAACTTGTTTCATTCACACATCTAAGAGTAGTTCTTCTTCTTGGCGCAATTTATTAAATGGTGTCTATTTCTGTGGAATACGCAGTAAGGCTGTTTTGCTGAAATTGTGCAGCTTTGCTTACAATTTTTGTCGGCGGACCCGTGTTCTTAGAAAAAGCGATGTTTATTTGGTGTCTTCATAGACGAAGAGATTGCCTAAGTTTTAATTTTCAATATACATTGAAGCGTTTATAACATTCTCCAAAAATGTTAAATGTATTATTTCATCATCAAGTGCCCTGCCGTCTGGCGTGGGCGATCATGCCTCTTCACAATCTGCGATCCGCAACTGCATGTATCACTTTGTGTATTGACACCCATCCATGTTACGACAAAAGGCTGTTGAGAATCTTTTTGTGCTGTCTTCCTCTGTCTCTTTTTCCACAAATCTTTCCAGTGGTCACAATTGTTCCAGTTTCCGTCTTCTCATAAGATGACCAAAAAATGATGACTGTTTCTTTCTGATGTTTGTGATAAGTCATCTTCGAGTATTTGCCTCTTTCAAAACGTCTGAGTTGTTCTTCTTAGCTATCCAAGGAATTCTAAGGACCCTTCTAAAAAACGACATCTCCGAGGCCTCAACATGTTGTTCAGCTTATTTATTAATTGTTCAGGATTCACAGTCGTAAGTTAAAACTGGCTCCATATAACATGTGATAATTCTTTTCAAAACCTCCGAATAACATGGATTTATTGCACAAAAGGTTATTCATTTTTATTAAAAGCAGTCTTTGCCTGTCATATTCTGTTCTTTATGTCTGTGATACATCTTTCATCGGATGTTATCGATATGCTAGATATTTAAATGTCTGTACTTGTTCTAAAATAACGCCTTTGACTTTTACTTTTATTATGCATTTAGGAAATATTCTTTTCTAGGAAATCACCATTACTTCTGTCTTTCTATTATTCAAAATGAGGCCCATATTATCACTTTCTACCACCACGTATCTATCAATTCCTGTAGTTCTGTCTGACTTGTCGCTATCTAGACTGTGTCATCAGCATAACGTATGTTTTTATGTTATGACCACCAACCACAATTCCCGGCATATACATGATAGATCTCATTATATATTCACTGTATAATAAAAAATAAAAAATAAATCAGGTGATAGTACCCATCCATGTCGTACTCCCTTCTTCATGCCCTGTAATGTTCCCAAACGACTGTTATTCTTATCCATTGTTTTGGATGCCATTACATGTTCTTTATAATTCGCTAATCATTTCCATCAAAGTTTAACGTTTCCAGTAGCTTGATTACTTCTTCACATTTCACATAATCAAACGCTTTTGTAAATTCAATCAAAGAGTTCTGAGGATGTATATGGCATTATTTGTACCCTTTCCTTGTATAAATCCATACTGTTTTTCACTAATTTCTGGTTTAATTTTGTTTCAAGAAGAATCTCAATGCAATTTTTAGTTATTTTGAAGCCCACCCTGGCTTTTGCCGGGGTCCTAAATATAGCCGGGCCTTAAATATAGCCTAACTGCTAAACAGGGTTTCCACGGGTTATCCTCATCCGCATGGTGGCACTTTGTGTCACCGGGTGTGTATTGCTTGTGTGATGTCTTGGTGGGGTACAACCAACCTACCTACCTACCTAATCTTTTTTTCTTATTATTCTCACAATTGTTCTCAGTAACATTTTTTTCACGTGACTCACAAGACTTATGTTGCGATAGTCTTCATATAAAATGTATGTAACATTATTTATTACTCATGGTTTTGGCCACTGGGATGTTATTGTCAGATATATACTTTTTCGGTACTAAATATTTTTACTGAAATCAAAGGAGGAAGGGATTTCAGAATTATGAACCACCAGTCGTGAACATTTCTTTGTAGCTCCGGTGTTCGACTCAAAACATACCCCCTTACATATCAATCCATAGTGAACTCCCTGTGTCAACTTGTGTTTTTCTGCATCAATGAATGCTTATTCATATACTTTTCAACTCAAACATTTTATGTGCTTCAGTACCACGGGTTATGGCGCTTGTTAATTATCAAGGATTTCGAAACCAATTCGAAAGCTTCAAAATCTGTGACGTGTCTGTCAGAGGTTTAGGGCTGCAGTAGCCGTTCCTGGTCACTTAACCAGAACAAGTGCTTATAAGTGACGGACATCTGGGGCAGCAGCAGCAGCAGATCAACAGCAGCATCAGCAGTAAAAACAACAACAGAAACAAAAGCAGCAACAACGACAGCGCTTTTCCTATATTTATATATTAATGAGACTGCAAAGATTGATACATGGCGAATGTTTGCCAGTTTAACTTGCATATCTCTAGCGTCATTTACTTCTCTGCTGTGATTGCTCTGGTCAGGTAAGTCTAGCCTATACAAGTCGTTGATTGGCCTTTTTTGTGTTTACGTTCGTTGCTTTTTCTACAGTCTGTCGCTGTCAGACAGTCCTCCATTCTTAGATAATTCTCCACTCTCATTCAATCATCCACCCTGAGATAATTCTCAAATCCTCCACTCTGAGACAGTTAATACCCCACTCACTCATCCACTCTCAGAAAATCCTCCACTCTCATGCAATTAATTCCTCACTCTCATCCTCCACTCCCAGAGAATTAATTCCTCACTCTCAGATGGTTTTCCGCTCTCAGACAATCCTGCATTCTAAGACAATCCTCCAATCTTAGACACTTATTTCCCCACTCTCAGATAATCCTCCATTCTCAGAGAATCCTCCACTCTCAGAGTGTCCTACACTCTCAGACAAGTAATTCCCCATTCCCAGACAATGCATTCACTCTCAGAGAATCCTCTTGGATAATCGTCCACTCTCAGACAATTAACTCCCTATTCTCAGACAATCATCCACTCTCAGACTATCCTCCACTGTCAGACTATCCTCCACTCTCAGACTATCCTCCACTCTCAGACTATCCTCCACTCTCAGACACTCCTACACTCTCAGAGAATCCTCCCCTCTCATACTGTTCTCTACTCTCAGACTATCCTTCACTCTCAGAGAATCCTTTCCTCTCAGACTATCCTCCACTCTCAGACTGTCCTCCACTCTCAGACTATCTTCCATTCTCAGAAAATCCTACACTCTTAGACAATCCTACACTTTAAAAACGATGCACTCGTAGGCAGACATCTACAGTAAGCCAGACTGTCACTCTCAAAGAGAGCCACCTTCTGAAAACCATCCATGTACAGATAATCGTATACTTTCAGATAATCTGTTTTCCATGTGGCTTCCGGAGACCTATTGAGGGAAACAAAAAAGAATCGACTCACTGCCTTCCCAGCAAGTATGTCACAGGAGTCGACTAACTATGCTTTTTCAAAGTCGGGGTGCATCTTCCTGAGCGACAAGGAACAACCAGCAGCATACAAATAAACCAGTAAAACGGATGTACACGTAAAACTCAGACCCTGGCACTAAGCCAAAGTCCAAATGGAAAAACAAACAGTACTTTCCGCCGGAACTTACAGTTAGTGAACAAAGAAGAAAAAAAGCTCAGACAGTCTATTTCTGTCATAGAATTAGTAACTTACAAAAGGTATCCCCCCCCCCCCCCTTTCCATTACAACAACAGAAACAAATTATTGTTAAAAACCTGCCAGCCGCATATAATCTGTCACTCACACACACACACTGTACCTTTTAAACAATATATTACTCTGACAGATCTGTAACTCCAACACACACACTGTAACTCTTGAACAACATATTAAACTGACAGATCTGTCAGTCCAACACACACACTGTAACTGTTGAACAACATATTACTCTGACAGATCTGTAACTCCAACACACACACTGTAACTCTTGAACAACATATTACTCTGACAGATATGTAACTCCAACACGCACACACTGTATCTGTTGAACAACATATTACTCTGACAGATCTGTAACTCCCACACACACTGTAACTGTTGAACAACATATTGCACTGACAGATCTGTCACTTTCTCATAAACATACGCACACTGACACACACACACACACACTCACACACACAGATTGTCACTCTTGAACAACATATTACTCGGATAGATTTGTAACACATTCACGCACACCACACACAAACACACAGACACACTCACACACACTGTCACTCTTGAACAACGTATTGCTCTGACAGATCTGTCACTCTGGCACACTGCAACTCTTTAACATATTACTCTGACACATTTGTTGCTCTCACACAATCACCCAAGATCAGACAATCACCCAAGATCAGACAATCACCCAAGTTCAGACAATCACCTAAGATCAGACAATCACCTAAGTTCAGACAATCACCCATCCCCTAATGACTGATCATCTCCTCAGATGCCAGCACACAGATTACTTCGGCAACATCTCGGAGACGATCGAGAACCTTCTCAACGGCTACGACATTCGTCTTCGACCCAGCTTTGGGGGTGAGTACTTTTTTTGGGGGGGGGGGGGGATGGGAGTTCTTTCGTAATATCCTACTCCAGATAAAGTCACAGGACAGTCCAACATTTTAGAGGGTGGTAAGACTTGGTTGGCAGGCTTTCTGATGTTTTTAACGACCCTAAAACATCTATAAATGGCCCTAACCCCAACCCGCCTACGTTCCACGAGGGAGTGCAGCCTAGGTCCCACGATTGCATGCAGCCTATCTACCACCCCCTGAAATATTAACCTTTCATGTGACCTGTGGATTTCTCCTGTTTGGGGTAAGATATTAAGAAAGCACCATTTTTTCTGGTTAAGGGAATGGGTGACAGTGTATGTGTGTGTGCGTTTATGTATGTTTATGTGTTTTTGTGTGTTTATGTGTATCTGTACGTCAAAACGGAAAGAGACAAGTGGACGAACGGACAGATGGATGTTGGTTGAATGAATGGGATGATTCCTGAATGGATGCAGGGTGAGTAGACAGATGGATCAATAGACTGACCGACTGTGAAACAATCAGACAGACCGGCACATACGTTGGTAGATAGTTAAACTGACTAATAGTAATATATTCATTCAGGCATACATTAAGAGAGACAGTCAGACAAATAGACAGACAGACATTGAGATAGCGATCTCAGAAACAGTTTATATTTTCTTAAGCCTTGTCTCAACAGACGCTATCGATCTCACCCATCCGCGATTCTGACAAAGTATCGATTTCTGTTACATCATGGGAAGACTATATATTTACGTATCAAAGGTGGTCCCATTGCGCAAACCTAATAGTATACAGGGAAAGAAATAAGAAAAACAGTGAAATGTTGTTAACAGGAATTCCTTTAGAAAAAACAAAATCAAGAGTTCATGTTAAAAAAAAATATATGCTTATCTGGGACCTTTTTCGTCTTCGCTTTCACTAGCCGTAAACTCTTGTGGAAAGTTGTAGTTTTTCTTTTCCTGTCCACTTCTGGATTCTAGTCCGGTTCCAGAGCGTGAGTTTTTCGTGCACAACCGTTTTACAGAGCTCACTCGTTTGTATGCAGACTAAGATTACGATATGTGCGCGATTTGCCTGTCAGGCAGATGCACTCCGACTTCGGAAGAGACCTAGGACTAAGAGTAATACATCCCTGCGGGGACCAACATTGTGGTCATGTTAACCGGGTATTCGTCTTAAGGACAGGCGAAATCCCCAAAGTTGGATGATATTTGCTGGAAAGAATGCTTTCTGTAGGCACATACTGGTTCAAGATCTATATCAGTGGCTGTCAACTTTTCTAATGCCGCGACCGTTTAAACAGTTCCCTTATGTTGTGGCGACCCCCAAACATGTGTGTTTTACCATGGTCTTAGACAACCCCTGCGAAAGGGTCGTTGGACATCAGAAAAGGGTCGCGACTGGCAGTTTGAGAACCGCTGAAAATGAATGTGTGTTTTCCGATGGTCTTAGGCGACCCCTGCGAAACGGTAGTTAGACCCACTTCTTCTTCTTCTTCTTCTGCGTTCGACATCAGTCATTCTAAACATTGAGTCCCGTCTGGGTCACAAATAGGATTGTGCGTTTAAGGTCGCCACCGGTCCCCCATAGCTTCTCTTTCAATGTGGCTCCCTTTGGCCAGATCCACAGTCTTTGCTGGCAGAGGTAAGGGCAGTACTGTAGTATGTGCCCAGGGGTATGACCATATCGTTAGACCCCCCCCCCCTCCCAAAAAAAAGGGTAGTGACTAGCAGGTCTAACCGCTTATGTATATATATGAACAATTAAATTGTGGGCGCAAGTTCAAAACATTTTCTCGGCTGTTTATTAAAAATGTCATATATGCTGAAAATGGCCAAATTTGTTTGCACCATTGAGCTAAGATTTCTCACAAACTAATAAAGATGGCTTTAAAGAAAATAAGAAACCACCGCGGTGTAGAGGCTAGACGCTCGACTATGGATTCGAAAGTCGTGGGTTCAGATCCTTACGGAGCCGGATTTGAAAAAAAATGACATTAGCTCTCTTAAATGAGTACCAGGTAAAGTCCTGGGAAGTAAAGGCGGCCGGTGCGATGTTGACCACATTATGCACGGAGCGCTGATTGGTCTATAAAAATAGGTCTCGCCCTATATGCCCAGTACACCTAAAGGCGTGGAAAAGGCGCCTTTACTTTACTTTACTTTGGCCGACCTGAGAGCCAGGGTCAGTTTAAAAAAAAACCGCTACGTTCAGTTGTTTGCCATTGCTAACTCAACGGTCAGCTGTCTTTACCCCTGTCGAAATCAACTTAAGCAGCTAGAATCGAACCCTGTACCCTGGATTACGAGAGCGTTCGCAACGCCTAAGCCACAGAGACCAAAGTAGACAAACGTGTACTTAAAAGGCGATTAACTAAGAGCTTGCTGAAAAAAGGATATGTTGGACCGAAAGGCGAAGATTTTGCAGCCTTGCTGTAAACCGGAACGTACCAGCTTCCGTTTTGAGGGCCAACGCAGAAAAGGAAAACAATAATTATACTTGCTGTTTTGAACAACGAACGGATCAACATCATGGCACACAGGTAGTAACCCAGTGCTCCGTTCTTCTTCTAACTCAGCTCTGAGTCCGAAGGAGCTTAGCACAGAGCACAGGCTTTGTAGCACTGTTGAGAATCCTGAAATACTTTGGGAAGATTTTAAACTCTAAATTTTTGACCGGGCAGCGCCGTTAGGCTACTCTTTTCGATTTCCATCTGCCAAGGTTTATTTTACGTGCGCAACAATGCACACGGGCCTCCGATCTCACTACCCAGAGAACAGGGGGAATTACTAGAAGTCCAAGTCCTTACCGGGGATTGAACCAGGAACCTCTAGCACTCTTGGCGGACACCATGCCCCGAGACCATGCAGACCCCTAAAGAACTATGCTGATTTGTGTAAACCCAGAGCTCCAGGCCGGTAGGCGAGTACTCTACAGCGGCTCGGCGTCAAAACCAAAATGGAGGGAACAGACGACACACAAACAGAATGTAGAAAGCTAGCTCTAGGTCGGAGGACAACAAATAGAGATGGACATCGCAATCTGTGTGCACTGCCATTGCAAGGGACACAGCCTACTGAGGATCTCTTGAAGTAGATCCATTTTCACGCCTTTAGGCATATCGGGCATATGGTAAGAGCACCCATATATTTACAGACTAATCGGCACTAGGTGGTGGGTAATGTGGTCAGCATTATGCCGGTTTTTACTTCCCCAGGACATACATACTGGTACTCATTTTAGGCTGGGTCGACCTGCGACGCCCCATACCATGATAAAAATCTTCGCAACCAGCAGTGGGTTTCGATCACGGTACGTTGGAATTACGAGTCGGACTCGCAACGCCTGAGCCACGGACGCCGCTACTAAGGGTCTCTTGCAGTCAACTATTCATGTGGAGATGGCCCTGCACATATTGTTTTAAAACGTTTTTTTTTTAAACTCTAGAGTGGCCATTCTTTCTCTCTATTTCATTTCTCTATCACCATCTCCTCCTCCCCTTCTTCAATCTCCCTGGTTATAAACACATGATAAAGGGAACAATGAGGGACCTCGTCACATATCAACACTTCGAAGGAGGGAACAGATTCCCATGTTCCCAGACATAAAATCAATGGATGGAAATCGTTTTTAAGGTATGCTGGAAACTTTCCAGGAAGAAGTTTTTTTTTAAATCCATTTTTCTGCTGACCAGAGACTCAAGTGGTAGAGAATCGGGTCTGTTGGAAGTGCAGAAATTTAGCACGTATAGGGTTGAACTAGCCTTGAGTGGGTACCGGATGCAGTCACAGGAAGTAAAGGCGGCCGGCGTGATGCTGACCACATCGCCCATCTCTACACCACCCAGGCCTTCAGGCATATTTGTCATACAGGGCTAGACCTATATTTTATAGACCAATCGGCACTTAGTGGGTGATGTGATCAGCATCGCACCGGCCTCCTTTTCTTCCCAAGACTTGTACCTGCTACCCACTCAAGGCTGGGTCGATCTGGAAATCAAGGTCATTTACACAACACCAAAAAAGTCCTGCTCCTTCAGGACCCAAACTCACGACTTTCCGATCGGCTGGCGAACGTCTAGCCGCTACACAACGACGGCTGCCTTTATGAGTAGATGGAACTGTAAGCATGTGGATAGGTGAGTATCGAGAAACGGAATGGTAAATAAACGAGTGGTTTTGATGATAAATAAGCGAGTGGTTTTGATGGTAAATAAACGAGTGGTTTTGATGGTAGATAAGCGAGTGGTTTTGATGGTAGATAAGCGAGTGGTTTTGATGGTAGATAAGCGAGTGGTTTTGATGGTAAATAAACGAGTGGTTTTGATGGTAGATAAGCGAGTGGTTTTGATGGTAGATAAGCGAGTGGTTTTGATGGTAAACAAACGAGTGGTTTTGATGGTAGATAAGCGAGTGGTTTTGATGGTAAATAAGCGAATGGTTTTGATGGTAAATCAACAAGTGGTTTTGATGGTAAATCAGCGAGTGGTTTTGATGGTAAATAAGCGAGTGGTTTTGATGGTAAAAAGCGAGTGGTTTTGATGGTAAATAAGCGAGTGATTTTTATGGTAAATAAGCGAGTGGTTTTGATGGTAAATAAGCGAGTGGTTTTGATGGTAAATAAGCGAGTGGTTTTGATGGTAAATACGCGAGTGATTTTGATGGTAAATAAGCCAGTGATTTTGATGGTAAATAAGTAGTTGGGTCGATGTTGCGGTTAATAAGTGGTTGAGCGGGTAGAATGGTAAAAAAAAGTCGTTGGGTCGGTGGTATGGTAAACAAGTAGTTGGGTCGGTGGTATGGTAAACAAGTGGTTGCGTCTGTGGTATGGTAAACAAGTAGTTGGGTCGATGGTATGGTAAACAAGTAGTTGGGTCGGTGGTATAGTAAACAAGTAGTTGGGTCGGTGGTATGGTAAACAAGTCGTTGGGTCGATGGTATGGTAAACAAGTCGTTGGGTCGGTGGTATGGTAAACAAGTAGTTGGGTCGGTGGTA